CCAGACCATAACTGAAGACTAAACAATGGGCAGAGAGGGGAGTGGAGTGGTGGCCAACTGTGAGAGGCTGCCACACCTTCCTTCACAGCCTCCCTGGGGCCTTAGAAGGTAGGGAAAGGAGTGGGGGAGACTGACTTTAGTCAGGCTAACCTTGAAGTGTGAAATGCCATTCAACTCTCCCTGTCCACAGCTATTCTAAAGAGAGTCCCACTTCATAAAGTCTGAGTTTCCTGGGCTTGCAGCAAAGTTCCTTATATTCTAAAGTACTTAACAGTCATCTACAATCATTAAGCATTTCTCAATTTGAGGACCTCAAAGGCTGGTCTTCTGGGACATCCCCAGACACTACTTTTTTTCTCAGCTTCAAATACCTGCTATGGCAGTTAATCATATCCTTTATATGTGCAACTTCCTGGTCTAGCAAGTTAGCCCATGAGTTGAACTTCAAACCTGGGATTCTAAAGTACTTAACAGTCATCTACAATCATTAAGCATTTCTCAATTTGAGGACCTCAAAGGCTGGTCTTCTGGGACATCCCCAGACACTACTTTTTTTCTCAGCTTCAAATACCTGCTATGGCAGTTAATCATATCCTTTATATGTGCAACTTCCTGGTCTAGCAAGTTAGCCCATGAGTTGAACTTCAAACCTGGGCCCTAGACTTCAAGTCTATGGTGCCATTAATCACTGACCAGGAAAAGACTATAAATTCAAATCTTTAAAGAGGGACCTTAAAATTCAACTTCTCTACTTCTCATTTTTTCTCAATGCTCCTGGAATTGAATAGAAATTAATATGTTCATCTAAAATGTTGCCTATCTTCCAGAGTCTCTGGCCAATCTCTCTATGTATCATTGTATGACTTTTAAAGCATTCTTTTTTTTCTTTCTTTAAACTCACCAGTAGCCAAGGCTGGTCTTGAACTCATGGCAATCCTCCTGTCTCCACTGCTCAAGTGATGAGATTATAGGCATACACCACTACACTAGGCATTAAAGCATTTTTAAAAATCATTTCAGTTGTGCATTCTCTTTCTAGTCCTCTGACAGTCCCCACATCAGGACTGACTTTTGAGAGACTACAGACATTTCTGCAGAACAGTTACCTAACAGAAGCTTATTGCTTCAAAATCAATAGACTCAATTCTAGCATCAAAAGATTTCCATGTGCAACATTCAAAGATTTATTACCTCACAATGTAGCAGGTATGAGCTTGTGCCTTAATGCTAAGATACAAGAAATGTCACTGCCATCGTTTGCCATGTTTTAGTCCCTAGCATCTTTTTATTTTTGGCATAAACAAAAAACATTTATTATCATAGTCCTTGAAGTTGTGAATCCCATGATCAAGGTACCAGTAGATCTGCTGTCTGATGAGGACTTTACTTCACAGTTTTCAGATGGTCATCTCGCTGTATCCTCAGGCGGAAGGCAGCAGAGAAAAAAAGCTTTCTTTTAAGGGCACTAATGCCATCTTGAGGGCTCCAACCCTCATGACCTAATTACTTCCCCAAGGGTCCATCTCCAGATAACATCACACTAAGGAGTAGGGTTTTAATTATGAATTCTGAAGGGATATAAACACTCAAGCCACAGCAAGATCTATAGAAAAGATATATAAGGGTGAGAAAGATAAATTGGGGTTTTCTTCCTCCCCCTTACCCTGTGGCTAATAAATGCAGGAACCACACATACAAACGATGAATCAGATTGGGGTTATCTTCTGATTAAAGATTTTCAGTAGATAACTCTAGTTTTTGTTTTGGTTTTATCAAACCCAGGGCTTTGTTCATGCTAGACAAGTACTTTACAACTGAGCTATATACCCCAAACCTCTCACTTGTTTTTGTTTTTGTTTTTGTTTTAGAGTATATTAGTTATACTAACTAGTGGGTTTGGGCATATCCATTTGTACATTTAACATACATTATTCATCCCCCCTATACTCCCTAACATCTTGTCTCAGTGGCCATTGTTTTAGCCCCTTGCATCATGTCAGTGAAATCTAAGAATGACTGACCATACTGATTTGTCCAAGCCTGAGATATCCTTGTCCAAGCCTGAGATATCCTGGCCCTGTCGATACTAAAATCAGGGAAACCAAAGAAGTGAATCACCCTAAAACTTTGACAAATGTTAGTTTATAGCTCTTCCCCCTTAAATTTTTTTTTTAGACAAGGTCTCACTGTGTAGTTCAGGCTGGCCTTAAACTCACTATGTGGCCCAGGTATCCCTTTAACTCGTGGTGATCCTCCTGCCTCAGCCTCTTGAGTGCTAGAATTATAGGCATGTACCACCATGTATGGCTACCCCCTTATTTTATTGTAAACTATAAGAAGACAAGAAACATTTCTAATGAATTTCTAAGCCCCCATACTTACTGCATGGAACAAAATAGGTGCTCAATAAATTTTAATAAGCACATTCATAAACTAGTGTAAAATAGAAGATTTAAAAAAATAGCCTGGTGTGGTGGCCCACACCTGTAATCCCAATGCTTGGGAGTCTGATGCAGTAAAATTGTGAGTTCAAAGCCAGCCTGGGCTATATAGGCCAGTGTGAACTACAGAGCAAGACCCTGTCTCAAAAGAAGGCAGGAAGAGGGCCGGGGATGTGGCTCAGTGGTACCATACCTATCTTAAAAGCATAAGGCCCTGAGTTTGGTCCCCAGTAATGGGGGCGGGGAGAAGGGAGAGGAAGGAAGGGAAGGAAAGAGGGAAGAAGTGATAGGGGACCCAAATCTTGAGCCTTATTGTAATTTTCTTGAGCCCACTGAAATAGAATACCCTGCAACTTCCTAGTTAGCTCTTTCAGGCTTAAAAAGGTCATGTCCTGGGCATGCAGATATTTCCATGTACACGTGTCATGATTTCGATATCATTCATTTCCAACTTGATGAATTTTTGTAAGTATAAGGAAGACTTCCCATCACATTTTGGACCGTCCTTTAGGAAGACAACATACCTCAATATAAGCAAAATGCTAAGAAAGCATGCATTTCTATGGGATCCATAAAGTTCTTATCTCAATCCCTGGCACCCAGTAAGCATTCCATTAATATTTTGATTATAATTATGGTTATGATTAATTTTTCCATGCTCAAATTATCTACCCTCCAAAATAAAAATCCTTTAGTGAGGCAGCACCAAACCTTTAGAATTATCTGTCCATCACTACCACAAAGAGGTCACCAACCAGAAAAACAGTACACACCTCATCCTGATCCTGGAAATATTAACATGTTTCCTTTTTTTTTCTTTTTTTTTTTTTGTACCAGGGATCGAATTCAGGCCCTTGCACTTGCAAGGCAGGCTGCAGAACCACTGAGCCAAATCCCCAGCCCATTAATAGGTTTCCTATAGCTTGATAGTATTTACCAGATTCCTTGGAGTTCTGTGCTGCAGGGGGGGATAGCACTGCTTTGAAGGGTCAGAGCCTCAGGCCTTTCCACTGCCATCCCAGAGCATTCCTTCTGGGTGTAAATGCAATGCCATAGCAAGTGTAATTCCAACACCACATCAATCCAATGATCCCTGTATCATTTTCCACTTGTCTTCCATAAGACATTGATATTTTTCCCCTTAAAATCTTTTTCTTTGAGCCTTCCTTCTAACCGTATTTCTCCCAACTTTTCATATAAGTCTAGCATAAGTGGGTAGAACTAGTGTTTTTCATCTTATATATAAGGGAGACTGTTGGGTTTGTGCAAGTTGTAACTGATGATCATCCCAGCAACAAGTCACAATTTATAGATAATTGTAACCATTCTGACTCCCTATTTCCTGGGGTTTTGCGGTTTTCGTTGGAAAAGTACCACAGAAAGTTGCCTCATTTCCATGCCTCATCTAAAAGGGTAACCTACAAAATCTGTTTATAATTCTGCTTGTCTCTTCTCTTCAGCCTTCCACTAACCTGTCATCTTCATGGTATGCAGTAAAGTGCTACAATAATTCATTCACAGAGCTGCTGTGTTTTTTGCTTTGTCCTGTGACTAGATCCCAAAGGTCCTGGCCCCACCTACTGCAGCCTTGTTTTACCAGAGTTTTCCTCTCTCCCTACTCCTCTCTCTCTCTCTCTCTCTCCTCCCCCCCCCACCTCCTCTTCTTTCTCCTCCTCCTCACACTCTGCAGACTGCTTGGAGAACTTTCTTAAACCTTCTCTGGGCATTCCAGGGACATACCCCAATCAGCCCATTCTAAATTCAGTTAGACTTCCTTGACCTCAAAATAAAACCTGAATGTCTACACCACCTTATACAAGTCTCTGTTTCAATACTACTTTTGATAGGCTGACCATAAGATCAGCATTTTATTCATTGTTGTCTCCTCTGCCTCCTGACTCCCTCCCTCTCCTCCCAGTACCAGGCATGGTGCCACTGAACTACATCCCCAGCCCACAAGATTACTTTTCAGAATTATAATTCTTGCCAGGTGTGGTGGCAACCAGACTGAGGCTGAGGTAGGAGAATCGACATGTTTGAGGACAGCCTGGGCTACATTGTGAGTTCAAGACCAGCCTGAACTACATAGTGAGATCCTGTCGCAAAAACAAAGAATTACAGTTCTTGGCTGAAGTGGGGAGTAGCTCCATGATAGAACTCATGCTTAGCATAGTAGGGGCCCTGGGTTTGATTCTCAGCACCAAAAAAAAACTGATTATAGGAAAAATTATAATTCTTGATACTCCACATTCACCACTGAATAGTAATCTATATGGGATGAACATCAACTAAGTTGAAGAGTATTTCTTAATTTGTGTTTCCATTGTTCATTTTTTTGTGTATGCTCTCTCTCTGGCATATCCTCAACAAGGAGGAAAAGTAGTACTTTATTTTATTTGTGATTCAGGCAGGAGGTTCCTCTCTATCAAGACCTCAGAGAAATGGCTCTGCCCTTCTCAACACCCACAAAGGAGCTCAGGGAAGCCTCAACTGGGAGTGATTCTCAAAATGTACCAAATGCTAAATATAAAACAGTATTTATGTATGTTCTTGTTTCAGAAAAGAGAATGGCTGCTGTTAGCCAAAGGGGAACCCCCGAGCCTAGGACACAGCCAGAGAATCCTTGCCAGTACTTTCTATGTGATTGTACCATCACGCTCCCTCACACTTCTGGTGAAGGCAGTAGCCACTCGGGAACTGATGCTGCCCAGCCCCTTTCCTGTGCTGCCTGACGACCCACCTGAAGATAGTCTCAAGATTGTGGAGGTAAGTGGAGCCCAGGTCCTATGGGACAGATAGAAAGAGATAAGTGAGAGGAATAAACCCCTGAGAGAATGGATGTGGACGGGGGGTTGTAGAAGGAGGGGATAGGAAATGGCTGGTGAGAGGAAATCGATGCTTAGATTAAGGCAGCAACGTGAGAAATGAAATGGAAGACTGACCTGAGGGAAATAACGTTTGAGAAGAGATAACTGAGGAAAAAAAGGTCAGTGGTATAAGTGGGTATTAGTACCATCCTGGAGGAGCATGAGACACATATGCATGTGCAGGCACACACACCCCTAAAATCTGACTAAAATGAGCACGAGTGGGTAACTGTGAAGGAGAAAAGGAGATGTGTCTCAGAAGAAAGACCAGGTAGCAAGCAAGAGAGAACGGAGTCAAGAGACGTCAGTACAGGGTAGGTCCAACTCCAGGGTTTTGGTTATTTTGACCATCAGCTGGCTATCTTGCCCCTCTATCCTGCAGTTCTACCATAGAGAGGTAACTGAAGTTGGAAGAGGGTGATGAATACATTAGAAATGAAAGAGGAAGGAAAAGACAGTCTAGAAGGCAGAGGAAAAAAGAAAGGAGAGGAGAGTAAAGGAAGATGCCCAAGAAATATGAACCTTTGAATGGATTTTTGTGTCTTTGTGTGTGTGCACATGTGTGTGTGTGTGTGTGTGTGTCTGTGTCTGTATGTCTGTGTGTGTGTGTGTGTGTGTGTGTGTTGGGTTTTTTGTTTGTTTTTGGTATCCCTAAGTGTATATGTGCTGGGTCTCTGGGTTGGTGGCATGCCTGAGCCTTAGTGTGTAGCTCCACCAGTGCACATCCATGTGTTCACATGTGTATGTACTTGTGTTAGTGCCATCTCTTCCTGCTCATTGGGAAATGAAGTAAAAGACAGCCAGCGTTGGCACAAAGATTAAGAAGGGCCTCAAAATAAGACTCCAGTGCAAAGGAGTGAACAGCTCTGAAAGAAAATTCTCCTCCTCTCTTCTCTGTTTCTGGATTCTGTATTTCCTGCTAGCTTCCCCAGGCTGGAAGTGGGAGGGGAGGCTCTAGATGGGAGAATTGGAACCACATCAGTGCTGGATGGAGGGCTGACATACAGAAGGACAGAGCCTGGGATTGTGTGCTCAGTTTGGCAGCCACCGGGATACAGAGAGAGGTGGACACAAGTAGCCACGGCTCACTCAGTGTCTCACTTCAGGGCCAGAGGTTCCTGGCACAGGATGTTGTGGCCGGAAAACCTGACTGTTCAGGAGTGCTGTGCTCCTTTGGCACTCCCTGCCTCTCCTCTGCTCACCTCAGGCCAGGAACTGCATATACTCGCTTTACAGACTAGAGCACCCCCACCCTATGTGTAACCTGAGGACACACCTCCTCCTGCTGCCCACACTAGATCCCTTGTACCCTCTTGGATGCTCCAGCCCCTCTCAGAACCCAGTGAAATGCTTTCTGGGGCCAGTATGTTCAGACCCCTAACCGCTACTTCTGTCCTTTTGTCTGACACTTCATAAGCACTCAGGCCTCAGGCAAAACACCCCTAAGATTCACCTGTTCACAGGTCCTACTGTAGCACTGAGTCTCAACACTTTCTCCAGCCTCTCACACTCACCAGTCTCTTTAGGGTGTCTGTGTTTTGTGACCTCGAGTTCCCTGTTGAAGGTTCTCCTCTCTTCCTCAGAGCATACTGGACAGCCTGGAACTGGAGCCCACCTATAACCCCCTGCAGGTTCAAAGCCACCTGTACTCACACCTGAGCAGCACCTTTGCCAAGCCTTATGGGTGGCTCTACCCGAGCTGGGAAAGCCAGGGTCCAAAAAAGGTATAGCTCTCCTTCTTCCCTCTACTTCCTCACAACCCTTCCTCCCCTCTATGCCCAGAGATCTCTCCAGCCACAGCCCCAACATTCTTACCCACAGGAGCAAACAGCCTCCTCCCCAATCCTACTTCAAGTGGCAAGGAGAACCGAGTGAATAAGGAGGGAAAAAAGACCAGCAAAATCACTCCTGCTGGGTAGGGAGGCTGGTCTGCTTAGGCATTTACATATAATCATGCTTAGGTGTTTTAAGTGTAGTGTTTATGATAATTCTAATAGTCACCTAACAGACCATTCTCATTAAGCAAACTGGCTACACTGGAATCATAACTATAGCCCTCAGTGAAAGAAACGGCCAGGGGAATGGTAGGAAAAGAACTTCCCAAGGGAAAGGAAAGTGACATATACAGAGCACCAGTCATATGCCAGGTTTTATGATTAGTTCTTTTACATATTTTCCCCCATTTAATCCTCCCAGCATCCCAACAAGGTAAGTGTTGTGCTCACTGAACAGATAGGAAGTTGGAGGCTGACCAAGGTCAATAGCTTGGAGACAGGGCTTTGGTGACAAGGTTTGAAGTGAAAAGTTGAAGGTAAATTATTTGTATGAGATTCATGTTCTATATAATATTTTGCCCTTACTAATTTTGTCCTAATTTCCCAGTAGCAAAGCATGTAGAAAACTCCCATATTTGTCTTAGCTAAAATTACAAGAGTAGACTGTTTCTAAACTCAGTCCACCTAGAAGTCAGTGCAATGGTCAGATGCATGGAGCAGAGCCCACCCTGTTAGTTTGGTGGGCAAGCTGACAGGGGAGGGACACTGGGTAAGGAGAAGGTTCTGTAAAGGCTGCAGTCCAGGGGACTCCACAGCACTGGCCTGGGCCTTGAGGGTGACACTCCAAAGATAAGATGTGTAAAGGAGTGAGGGCAGGATGCCCAGGAGTTAACAAGATATGGCCCTGAGGAACTGTATGGTCTTCAGAGAAGGCTCTAGTTGCTAAATTTTCAGGCTGGGCAGCTGCCAACCAACCGAGTTCGAGCCACAGTGGTCCCCCTGCCAGTGACTCCAGCTCCGGGCAGAGCCCCCAAGATGCCAGCAGCTAGCAAAGCTTCCTCAGAAGACTTCTTCCTGCTTTCGGAACCAGAAGAAGAGTATCCCTCCCAGCCCTGAGTCACCAGCACCAGAGCACAGTGTCCCTGTTCAACCATGTTTATGCCAAGGCTTACAAAGTAACTCTGTGATCAGATCTGCCTTCTATCCACCTGAGACTTAAGGAGCTCAAGCTGACCAAGAAACAGAGCCTCCTTCCCCACCTTGTCTTCAGTGTGTTGCCCCACCCCTCTCAACACACCCAAGCCTGTCCTTTCTCCAGCAGGGACTATCATTTTCTTCTGGGTCATTTGATATTGTTCGTACAAATGGAGATTAAATGTATAGTAAGCTTCCACCATTGTTAAGGAGTATTCCTAGCCCAGAATTTCTTCTTATAGCTCTATGTAAACAGGTGCATGAGGTCAGGTCACCTTCAGGAAACCAGAAAGCAGGAACAAGAATAAAGTTGCAAAGGTCATGAAAAACAAGGACTGAAACCAAGCCTCATTCCAGAACTGGTTCCCTTCCCAGTATACCCACCCCACTGCAGTTCCCTCGAGCTCCAGTCAAGTGTTTGGTGCTTGGTACCTACATGCAAAGTGGAGGGAAGTGCAATATCATATGGCCAAGAAGAGGGAACGGATGGTATGAAATAGGCCACCTCCCTCTCTGTTCTCCTCTCATACCTGCCCACCTTCCTGTCAGCACTCTCCTTCCACAGAATAAGAGCTATCATTAGAAAAAAACACTTTCTCTGTGCTTCATAGTATACTAAATACTTGAGAAATGTATTCGTTTCATACAAAACACCCTATAATACACAGCTCGTTATCAGTTCTCACAGAGGGGCAGTGGGGGAGACTGAGGGTTGATGTCCTACAGCTGACCCAGGTACAGAGTGAAAGCCCAGCCAAGGTCAGTTTGTCTTGACTACCTGGGTCACTTTGATTACCTGACACATTGCAGGCTTCCCTCTCTGAGGCCGTCCCTCTTTCCATGGTCCCCACTACATTCTGGTTCTCCTCTTGATCCCTGCATACCCACCCAGCACACCCTGCCAGTGTCCCTTCTGTGCCTGTTCACACACAGAGACCTCTTAAACCCAAACTGACTTTAATGCAGATCTTTAAATTTTTAAAAATATATCTCTGGCAAAAACAATACAGGGGGGTAAGGATCCAGGCAGCTTCCATACAGGCCCCTAGCTCTGCACCCACTCTGATCAAGTACCCCTTCCCCCACACCTGGTGCAGCAGCTGTCTATTCCTTTGGGAGAGGGATGGCTTAGGGGTGCTAATGTTCCCCACAGCTCATCCCTCAGCCCTACCATCTGTTCCACTTCCTAGGATGTCTAAAGAGGACCCTCCCACTCTCTGGTTCCTGCTCCATTCTAACAGGATTTTCTCATCCCTAGTGCCATGGTGCCATGGTCCTCTTGTCAATTACCTTCTCAGGTGGAGCCCTCTGACTTGACCCCAGTCCTTTCAGTACCTGCTCTAGAGAGCCCACAGTCCCAGCCCCGTGAGGCTCCACTCTTCTGGACCTGGCTATATAAGGCAGTGTTTGAGCTGTGGCCTTTGCTCCCACTACCAACTGCAGTACCAGGTTCGGGGAAGGCCAGGCCCTGGGGCTTGGGAGCTGGGATGGGCTTTGTGCTCCGAGGGGGTGGCACGGCATAGTCATCAGTGGCAGGGTTGTAGGGGAGCTCGTAACCCTCCTCCTTTGCCCGAGCTTGACACCACCATGCATCCTTGGGCTCCTGAGGAAGATCATAAAGGCCCCGGAGAGGGGCTATGGCCAGACCCTCAGGTTCATCATAGATGGGGTCCTCTTTAGTGTTTGTCAGCGTGGTCTTCTGCAACTGCTGCTGCACATGCGCAAACAAATCCCAGTAGAGAGGTTTCTTCGCCTGTACCCCCTCTGCTGCCTGAGAAGGGGTACTGTCTACCGGGTCTGAGTATAAAGAGTCCTGTGCAGGACCTGGAGGAATGCGCAAGGAGTCTAAGGGCTCAGCATACAGGGCTGGGGTGCTGCCTTGGGGCTCCTGGGGGATAGGAGCAGAAGCCAGCTTCACCTCTGTCACCTCCCCTTCATGAGAGTCAGCACTGAGGACCTCTTGCCCTGGTCCCACTTTTCCCTGGGCCTTCTGCTGTTGGATGGCAGTCTCAACTGCTTGAAATATGTCATTTCCTTGTACAGTCTGGAAGGTGAAGGTTCCAGGGCCAGAGGGGCAACGGCGACCAGCCTCAAAAGAGAACATGACCTAAGGAGGGTATGGAGGGAAGCAGATAACCAGGAGGTCAGATCTGGTGAGGCACAGAGCTTGAACTAGTCTAACTACAAAGATAGACCTTTTGCGGGTAGAGGTTGGGTCAGAGAGTGTGAAAGGAAAGAGAGATCCAGAGGGCAGAGCTTCCCACCTTCTGGTCCTGCCCCACCTGGCTTTCAGATGTCCAGCCCAGAAGCCCTCCCTGAAGGTCCTCCCTGACAGCCCCTGTACCTTGTCTCGGCCATAGCGGCGCAACAGAGTGTAAGGCCAGGAAAGAAGCGGCTCCAGGATCTGACCCTGGGCTCCCAAAGCCAAGAGAGTCAGCCTCTCAGCCTCTACCCTCAGCACATAGGGACCATGCAGGCCACAGCGCTCAGAGGCCTCCGTCTTCTGTACGGTTACCCAGAACTGGCATCCTGGAAGGAGTGCACAATTAGACAGGCACCTGGGCAGAAATGTACTGGAGGGCAGGAGTGAGGACTCCAGAGCAGAGTGTCCAAGAACTCATTTGGAAGTCAGATTCCAGGAACTGTTCTGTGAGTCCTGGACCCTCTAATCACCCACTCCCCAAGAACATTCCTTCCCATTCCATCCCTGCCCGGCTTCTCAAGCATCTACCTTCCCACGCTGGGCTGTACAGTGAGTTCTCCAGCATCTCCAAAGCAGAAAGTTTAGGTGGGTTCGTGACCGGCGCCTGAGCCCAACTTCCTTTCTGTGGTAAAGAGATTCCCTCAGTACTGCCCTGAGGTGGAGAGTGGGTAATCCTGGGCCAGCCATCCCTACGGGTGCTGTAACTGCCCCACCACAACGCCCCTTAGGTCCAGGGCCTTTCGCCCCAGCCCCTAGCCGGTTCCCTCACCGGAAAGGCATTTCGGCACAATGTCTGCACCCAGGCGGCGCTGGACGGCGCGTCTGCTGCCAGCAGGTGTGAGCGCTGCGCAGTGTCCAGGCGGAAGGCAGCAGCACCCGGTTCTGGGGGGCTTTCCACGGCCACCGGAGCTACGCTCACGCACTCGGCCAGGCGGATCACCTTACAGTCCAGGCGGCGCGAGCTCCCTCGACCCCCTCCAGAGCTCGACCCCTTGTGATCAAAAAACTCCAGCCGCGCTACGCCGTGGGGACTGGCCGGGTAGAGCACAGCCCATGTCTTCCTCCATTTCTAGAGAGACAGCAAGAGATGCGGGGGAGGTAGCGAGAGAGCAAGAGCAGCACGCGCCCAGACAGGGAAGGAGGGAACAGCGCAGGCCAACTAGGGGTCTGGGGCTTCCCAAGGAAGGGCAAAGTTTCCTAAACCCAAGAAAGATGCCGCTCGGTCTTTCCAGCACCAAGGAGGGCATAGCTGGACCCTACACCTGCTCTCCAAAGTCGCAAAGCAACTTGGCCGGAACCTCACCGGCTCTCCAACTGCTGCCCCCTCCCATTCTTTCTGTACCCTTTCACTCACTCAGGCCCCATAGGATTAGGAATCCTCTGCCCCACCCCCCACTACCTTAGTCCCGAAGCGCTGACTCTGCAAAAAGAGCGGCCCTTCCTTCACAGCCCCGTCCATGTCCCCGGGCGTTTCCTTCGGCGCTTCCTGGCCCAGCGGGCTCAGGGCTGGAGGCGGGGCTGGGGCGGGGCCGGGCCTGTGGGAGGCGTTCCACATACACACGCTGTCCGCTTTCGGGCAGTTAGAATGGAGAGCAAGGGGGAGGCATCAAGTAGGAAGAGTAAGGGTCCCCAGATACGCCGGGGGGCGCGCTATCTCCAGGAAGCGCACAAATGGCTCCACCTAGAGAAACTTCGTGGTTTCAGCCCGACAGTCCGGGCACCCCGTGCGCGGGGGCTGCGTGTGACATCACATGCTCAACGTGACATCAGAGTGAAGGTCCTGTCATCACTGCCCGTTCCCTGGGGCACCCAACAGGGCCAAATAGGCCCTCGGAACTTTAGTCCCCTGGACAGACCTGCCTGTAGCCCAGTCAGAGTGGGACTGGTTTACACTCCGCCTAGCTGGGGACGTAGAGGAAGAGCAGGGGGCTGGAAAGATTCCTGTAGCCACAGGGGCCACCGCCCGGGCCGCTCTGTTGCCCCACGGCCTCTTGCAAGTCCAGCTCCCTGACCGCAGCTGCTCAGCCTTAAACCTGCGGGCAAAGAAAGCTTCATTGAGCTGGATGGTCTGGGGGAAGGGGGGAGGTGGCGCTGCCGCCCAACTCCACGGGGGAGGGGAGGACTTAGGGGAGAGGAGAAAACTGGCCTGCGAGGAATGGAGCGAGAAAGCGGAATGTGGGAGGGCTCAAGGGGACGTGGGAGGGACGAACTGAGAGGGGGGAGAGAGGGGGGGTCCAGTCTCCCCTGGCCGAGAACTTTTTTTTTTTTTTTGGAAGTCTTAGGACTAATCTCCAGGATCAGACTCTTCTCCCAGCCCCTAGGGCCTTGCCCCGCCAAAGGTAGGGGAGTCACACTGCGGGCCAGAGGAAGGGGAGCTGGGGATGCAGAGGATGGAGGAGGGACGAGGGAAAAGGGGTGGTCAGGGATGGAGTCGGGAAGCCAACCAACTGAGAGTTTTATTATTGTCAGAGGGGAGTGAGACACAGAAGGGTGAAGAAAGAAGCACTTATTGGGGTTGGAGCTGTAGGATGTTCCACGTAAGACCACAGGAGGCCCAAGGCCGGGGACCCCTTCGTGAGGCCCTACCCCTAGACTCCCAAGCCACAATGTGCCCAGAACAAAGCTGTCTTTTTAAGCTGTTTGTTGGGGGAAGCTTGTTCAGAAGGCCCCCTCGCTCTGGAGGGACTGTTCTCAGCCCTGGCCAGAGAGTGCCTCAGGGCTGATGAGCGGATAGCCCTGGGGAGCCCTAGCCTTTGGTGACAGCAGAAGTGGTGTTGGCAGGAGGTTTAGACAACCCCACCCCATTCACTCCCTGCCCAGCGTGAGGCCTAGCCCTTCCGGCCCATTGACCCTGCGGGGCATCTGAGAGTTTGAGTGCAGTGCCTTCTCTACTCCCTCCTTGGTGTCTACTCTTCCCTTCCGGGAATCTGTCTGGACAGAGCTCCCATTCAGTGTCTCATGGGCCCCCTCGCCTGCCTCTCTCCATAGTCAGTATAGCTAGCTGTCTGTCATCCAGCTGGCTAAATGGGGTCATCCAGTTATCTCTCCAGGTCTGCTCCTCAGCTCTTGCCTGGCTGCCTTCACATGTGTTCTGCTCTCCCTCTTGCTCCTCAGTACATGTGCTTGGTTCTTTCCCTACCACTTTCTATCCATGTTCAACATGTCTCTCCCAGTCTCTGTTTTTAATCCCTTCGTTCCCACAGTCTCCCTTCCTCTCACATCCTGTCTGTCTGGTTCTTCCTCTCTGTGTCTCTTCTCAGACTCTGTCTTGACCATTCTCCGACTCTTGGTCTCTAACCTCTGCCATTTTCATCTTTGGGTCTCTCAAACTATTGAGTAGGGGTGAATGGAGCTGAAGATAGCAGAACTAACTGGGTGTGGTTGTGCAAACCTGTAATCCCCACACCTGGGAAGCTGATGGAAAAGAATTGCCACAAGTTCAAGACCAGCCTGGGTTACATAGTTCAAGGCCAGTCTGGGCTACAGAGCAAGAACTAGGGAAGGATGTTGTGGGACATAACTGTTAATTATGAAAGCTTTATTGTTTGCAAAAGGGAAAGGAGAGCCCCCTCCCTACCCCCAATCTGGGTTTCTAAGGCTATGCCTCTTTGACTCTGTATCTCTGCCCTTATTTAGTGTGTTTCTCTTTCTCTCACTGTCTGTTGGTTTCAGGTCTCTCATTCTCCCCTCTCCCTCTCTCTCTCTCTCTCTCTCTCTCTGTCTCTCCCCCTTTCCCTCTCTCCCTCCCTCCCCTTCTCCCTCTCTCTCTCTCTCTCTCTCTCTCTCTGTCTCTCCCCCTTTCCCTCTCTCCCTCCCTCCCTCCCCTTCCCTGCCATGAGACCTGTCAGTTTCTGCCTGTGGAGCCCATGGGGGCTGCTGCTGTGCCAGCTGTGCAACTGGTGCTTGGGGTCTCCATCTCCCTCCACGGCCCCCAACAAGAAGATGGGAAGCCAGGGGCTTCGGTTCCGGCTGGCTGGCTTCCCTAGGAAGCCCTACGAGGGTCGAGTGGAAATACAGCGAGCTGGTGAATGGGGCACCATCTGTGATGATGACTTCACACTGCAGGCAGCCCATGTCCTCTGCCGGGAGCTGGGCTTCACAGAGGCCACAGGTTGGACCCACAGTGCCAAATACGGCCCTGGAACAGGTGAGCAATGCTCCAGGGATAGCCTAGGTGTTACCTAATTTCAGCCTAACTGCAAAGACAGAGAGAACAGCAGGATGATGTAGCCACAGGGACATAGGACATCAAGAACAGCCAGTGTCAAATAAACCAACATAGATATTTCCACAGATTCATGACCTTAAGCTAATCAGCACATTCTGTGAGCCTCAGATGTACTATGTGCACAGTCTAGTTGATCTGTAAGTTATTTTCTGCTACAAAAATATGGTTATATAGAAGCCATGCATAAGAGCATTCCAGATAGAGGTGACACCTTATGATTAAAATACAGTTGGTTTCAAGGGAATCTGAGAACAGGTAGATAATGTCTGGATGGGCTGTCCCCAAGTCAGAAGGCATCACAGATACCACAGATAACAATATCAGATTACAGTCCAGAGAGTAAACTAACAAGCTGGAAACAACTTAGGATAAGTTTTGGGGTACAGGAACTGCTTAAATGCTGTCCTCACTGAATGCTCACACCACATGGACCCACACTGAGATTGATGGACAGAAGTGGCTGCAGCCATTTCCCATTACCCAGGCCACCGCTGGAATAAAGTGTCACTTGTAGATGCTACATTTTAAGAGGGCAGTAGAAAGCAACTCTGTCTTTCCAGGGAGAGCTGCTCAGATGTGAAAAATTCAAAAACCAAATTTCAGAAGGGATAGCTGAATAAATAAGAGGCTTATTACAAAAAAGAAAAAGCCCTGACGCACGCCTGTAATCCCAGCACTTGGGAGGCTGAGGCAGGAGGATCGCTGTGAGTTTGAGACCAGCCTGGACTACATAGTGAGTTCCAGGTCAGTCTCAACTACATAGTGAGACCCTGTCTCAAAAAAAAAAAAAGAAAAGAAAAGAAAAGAAAAAGCCTCAGACTGCAGTTACTTGATGGTTGTCAAATATGGGAAGTCATGTGACTGAGGGGTTTTTCTGGATGGCATCAAAATGTAAACATTTGAGATTCCACCCAATTCTGAGAGAAAGTTGGTAATATTCGATATGGTCCAGACAGGAAGAACAAGAGGATGAGCATATGGGAGAATGTCATGGTGAGGTGAAAGAATCTTAGATTCTTTAATAATATAAGACAAGTCTTATATTCAGGGCAAAGTCCTAAGCCCCTGTGTAGTGACTGTGTAGTCTTAGGCAAGTTACTTCTCTGAAACCCAGTCTATTAATATAAAAAGGTCTTCTGGCAGCCCTGTTCTAAGAATGATTAAGTGTACACACCATAGCACACAATAGGTATACTTTATTACCTATCATTGAATGGGTAAGGACTGGTCAGAACTTCATTGTTGATTCTGGGTTTTTTTTTTAATCCATCCTATTAAATTCTTGAGTATCCCCATATCACCAACTTTCCATCAATCTTTTTTCTTTTTTTTTTTATCAATTTTATGTCCTCTTCCCTTTTCCTCTCCAGGATTTCCTGTACCTTCTCCACTCCTTTTCCTACCAGGCTCTTGGGATCATTATCATGGCCAGGTGTGAAGCCCCCATGCATTACTTCCCTTATCCTTCCTCCTCAAGCTTCTCTGTCCCTCCATGTCCCCTTCCATAGGCCGCATCTGGCTGGACAACCTGAGCTGCCATGGCACTGAGCAGAGCGTGACTGAATGTGCCTCCCGGGGCTGGGGGAACAGTGACTGTACCCATGATGAGGATGCCGGGGTCATCTGCAAAGATCAGCACCTCCCAGGCTTCTCGGACTCCAATGTCATTGAGGTCTGCAGTATTTGCATGCACAAATACACTCCCTCTACCCAGGATAGCCAGGCAAAGGGCTGTAAGGGTGGCTAAATGCGGTTAGAAGAGATATTCAAAGGTAGGCGATCTCATGTGCCCCAATGCAATACTGTAATTTGGATTGGTGGGAGTCTTGGAAGAGGGGACCAAATGACAGAGTTGTAAAATCCAAGGATTTATTTCCTTTAGTATTAGCACTTGTTATTAAACTTGGCATAAGTCTCTCCAGCTTCATTCTCAGTCACTCCAGGGAGCAACCAGTGTCCTCTCTGCATATGTTCCTGCTGTCCTGGAACATCCTTCTCCTTCAAAGCCGTTTTTGTGTGTGTGTGTGTGTGTGTGTGTGTGTGTGTGTGTGTGTGTGTGTGTTTGTTTGTTGTTTGTTTGGTACCGGGGATCAAACTCGGGACCTTGTGCTTGAGAGGCAAGCATGGCACCGCTGAGCTAAATCCCAGTCCCTTAAATTTGCAATAATTGTACATAGATATTTAAATGTAGATATCAGCCAAATAGGCAGGCTTTTTTAGTGTTGTTGTTTTGTTTTGTTTTTGTGGTACCAGGGATCAAACTCAGGACCTTGTGTTTGCAAGGCAGGCGCAATGCCACTGAGCTAAATCCTGGACCCCTTAAAGCCACTTTTTCTGTGATGTGCTCCCTCCTGCTCTGGGCAGAATTTAGTCCTTCGACCCTTGACCATGTCTCTGAGCACAGTATAACTCCTCTCCCAGCTGCAGGAGAGCCCACACACCCCAGAGTCAGAGCGAGCATAGACTTCCGCAGCCCTGCCTCAATCCCATCCCAGCCCTGGGTTTACAGAAAGCACACTCAGTGTTCCTTAAGGATGACAGAACATGTGAGAGGTGCTACCGGGATCCCTTCCCTGCTTGTGGTCCCATCCCCAGGTGGAGCATCATCTGCAAGTAGAGGAGGTGCGACTTAGACCAGCCGTTGGGTGGGGCAGGCGACCCCTACCTGTGACTGAGGGTTTGGTTGAAGTCAGGCTTCCAGACGGCTGGTTGAAAGTGTGTGACAAAGGCTGGAGCACCCACAACGGCCACGTGGTCTGCGGGATGCTGGGCTTCCCCGGTGAAAAGAGGGTCAACATGGCCTTCTACAGGTGAGGGACTGCGCGCGCTGACTAGGGTGGACAGGTCTTGGAGGTAGTGTAGGAATGGTGTTGAGAGACCTTTGAAAGGGGCAGGGGAATGGGGGTGGGGTCTGGCATAATGGGTAAATAAGGAATCTGTTGTGAAGCTGGAGACTTAGAAAGTTGTATGCGACAATGAAGTGTGAATTCCCCCTAGAGGGATCCGAAATGGGGTCTGTGAGGTTCCCATGCTCTTGTCAGAAATGGGGGCCAAGCGGCAGATCGCGCTTCCGTGCACGTGACGTTCGCGGTAGGCGGGCAGATTCTCCCGATTGCGAGTTCTGAGCTTCTGGGTGTGGCCCAGGGTCTAAGGGACCGCGATTGGCCTTTACAGTTGTCCCCGGCGCAGGCCGTTCAGAGCCAGGAGGGGCCTGAGAGCTCCGGGAAAGACTGGCCCGGTCTTCCACCTGTGCTGCCCGCCAGGGGCATCAGTGAGCACAACACGCTGCACTGCGGGGGACGGCGGCGGGGGGTGGGGTGCTCTAGAACAACCTTTGGCCCAGACTCCGAATCCTCTCCACTTGCCTTGGAGCCTGGTTTACACGCCGGCCTCCAGAGCACGGAAGCACCCTGGCTTGTGCTTAGAGTGGCTCCCTTACCTGGGGCATCTAATTTGGTCATTTTGAGAAACAACCTTTGGGATATTTGGACATCTTTCTAGTGTCTCTCTGTTTCCTATTTTGCAAGCCAGAAATGCTCATTTTCTTCAGCTCATCCTTAGGTCAGTTTTGCTTCTTGAATGTCTAAGGCTTCTTGACTCCAGATGACTTTCTACTGAGCACACTACTTCACACGTGGTCGTAGGGCGCTGTAGAATGTGCATCTTCGATTAAAGCGCCCTTCAGTTTGCTCTGCTTTCCAATCAGGCAGCATCCTAGTGCTCATATTGAATGTCTACTGTAATCACCTGACGGCAACTCCAGTCTTCACTTATCTTTAATACTGATAGCCTTTTTGAACCTAAATATGTATTGAGTTTGCACTATTAACTTTGTTTTAATACATCATTTAAAAGTCGTTAAAAAGCCATCACGATCCCACAAGATCATCTTGAGTCTTGACGTGATTTTCTATCTGTCATCCATGTCAACCTCCTATGATGAACGGACCAGACAGCTACGCCCTAAGGCTTCTTCAGAGTAACTGTAAAAAATCATTGTTAAAATGCTTAAAACCAAAGTCTAACTCGTCTTGCAAAAATTTCCTCCAGAATTGCACCCCACCTCTAATTGTTAGTTGTGAAGATATTATTTTTCTGGGAAAAAAACAGAATGCTACAAGAATGTAACCAATATTTTGCTATCTTATATATAATGAAATCATAGGAGATTTTATTAGTCTTATTAATCCAGATACACTGTTCACAGCCATCTCCAACCCTCCAATTTAGTACTCTTATTACAAAAGAACGTCAGAGATTAGCTTATGTTAATTTAAATCCATTTAGGTCTCTGAGGATTACTATATTTTTTTTCTAAATTCTCACGAACTTTCTATTCAATAATTTATTCTTGAAAACTACTTATCTGTAGATTGAGGAATCATTATTCTCTCTCTCAATCTGGAAATCAACCTAATCTCTAATCTTTTCCATATTTGACCAAATTTTCCTTGACTTTAAAGTTCTTTCAGCCCCAAGAAATATAGTTTATCTGGCCTGGAAACTGAAACCATTTTAAAATAGCTGTGTTTTGTTCCCTTAATGTCATCCACCTTGGGGTCACTGCTTTTTCTGTACTTGTTCTTTAACTTTCCTAATCCAAACTCTGGATTCAGAAAGATTAGTAAAATTTAATGCAGACGTTCATCATTTAGTGGCTAAGTTCTGTTCCTGCTACTTGGTCACTAAATGAAGAATTTCAAGGGCCAGGGATTTAGCTCAGTGGTGCCGCCTCCTGTCTCACAAGTGCAAGGTCCGGAGTTTGATCCCCAGTCCAAAGAAAAAGATAAATGAGGAATTTCATATATTATGTACATTATAGTATTTAAAACAAAGAAATGGTCAAAGGAAACTCCAATTTGATGTCTGTGCTTTTATTTCCATAACTCTTCCATGCGGTACTATAATGTATAACAGAATATAAAGCTATGGTACTGTACTGTACAGCACAATCAGCAAAAATTACAGTATTATATAAACAAGGTGTATTTACCCAAAAAAGACCTTGAGGCTCTATCAAAAATACCTATAGGTCCAGAGATTTAGCTCAGTGGTGCCGCCATCTGCCTCACAAGCGTAAGGTCCTAAATTTGATCCCCTGACCAAGAAAAAGAGAAAAAAAACATAAAAAAGATGAATGTAAGTCCAAGTCATTAAATAGGTGGGCTGTTAAATGAGGAGTGTCTTAATGGTTATTCCAAGTGAGGATGATCGCATGAGAAAGGTCTAGGGAGTCATTCGTCCAACATATGCTTACGGAGACCCTACTGACGCTAGGTACTGTTGTAGACACCAAGGATTTGATAGTGAACACAATTCCTGCTCTGGTAGGCTAAAGGACAATCAGGAAATAAGTAAAATGTAAGGATGGTAAAAAGCACAATGGATAAAATAAACTAGGAAAGGGGTAAAGAAGTAGGAGTGGGACTGTTGTTTTAAGTAGAGTAGCCAGGGAAGATCTTTGTTTTGTTTTGTTTTTTTGTTTTTTGGGGGTTTTTTGGGGGGTTTTTTTTGTTTTTTTTTTGTACTGGGGATTGAACTCACAACCTTGCACTTGACAAGAGATTATAATGAACAGGATATATTTAAACAACAGTAAGTATACAAGAGTAGAAGGTTTTTATTGAGGAGTGGAAAAAGATCTGAATGGATAGAGGCCAAAATGGAACATTTTTAATGCCATATCTGAGAGTTTTATCTTTGTATTATTTTTTAAAAGTTAACAGTGAAGAGCCGGGCGTGGTAGTACATGCCTGTAATCCCAGCACTCGGGAGGCTGAGGCAAAAGGATCACTGCGAGTTTGAGAGACGAGCCTGGGCTACATAGTGAGTTCCAGGGCAGCCTGAACTACGTAGTAAGACCCCATCTAAAAAAATAAAAAATAAAAAAAAAAAAAGTTAACAGTGACAATATTTGTGTGGGCAATAAGGTAAGGCCAGTCTTTTTAAAAGTTTGCTTGAGAGTAATGAGTGGGTCTAGATGCAGTAAATTAGGAGTTTATTATAAAAATGAAATTTATTAGGAGGGTGACAACAAAGATGGATGGGAATGATTAGATTTAAGAAGACTAATAGAACATAGAAAATGAGAGAAGAGACACCTAAAATGATTCTGAAACTGCCTGAGAGACTGAAGCATCTCTGAGCTTCAAGTTAATAGTTTTAAGAAATGGGCCATGCTTAGGAAGTTAGACACTTATTGTCCTTGGACATGTACATTCTTACATAATTTTCACAAAGCAGGAATATTTGCTGTACATACAGAATCTCACAATGAATCTTGGACCTGAAGGCAGAAGAAGGAAACATACTAAAGCACAAAGGTCATTCTCTCATGTAAGAGATTACAGATGGGAAATGTTATAGCTCTTCTTTCTCAGGTCAAGTCAGCCAGGGAGCATTCTCATAGGTAATACAATTATGAAAGATATCCAAGATAAACAACTCTGTCTACCTTAGAGGGGAAAAGTAGATCTGCTAGCTTCACAGTAAGTCAGTGAGATTTAGGGAATGAGAAAATCAGAGCCTGATGTATTTATCATTTTTTACTTGTCTTGGTAGTCCATCCATGAGCCTATGAAGTCATAGAATTTTATAAGAGGAAAAGAATGTATAAATAATAAAATTATTCACTGCTTTTGAAAAGGGAATGAAATTGAGGCTCTAAGAGCTTCAGTGCCATTTAAGAAGACACTCTTTGGTTCATTTCAATTAGACAGATGTTGGGCCAGGGATTTAGCTCAGTGGTGCCGCTGCCTGTCTCTCAATTAGACCGATGTTTATTGAATGTCTCCAATTTGCCAAGGATGGTACAAGGCGCTGAGAATACAAAGGTAAATACATGATAAGAGAGGTAATTAGGTGCCAGGTCACAGAAGACCATATAGACCACATTAAGTTAATGGGGAACCACTAAAGTGTTTCAATGAGGAAAGGGCTATGAGTTGACATGATCAGTTTTGTGGCTCCAGAGATTATTTTGACCATATTTCTGAGAATAGTTTGGAGAAGAGAAAGAGTGAATGGATTGGAGAACTATTTAAGAAGTAAAATTGACAAGCCTTGGTTATTGATTTACTTTGGGAGCCAAGGAAGGAAGAAGTCAAGGTTGACTTCTAGGTTTCTGGAGTGGATTTTTTTGAGGGAATTGTGTTTTTATTTTTGGATCTGCAATATATTTTATATGAATAAGATATCTAAATAGAACCACAAAGAAGACAGTGAAATAAACAAGGTTAGGTGTGAATGAGACCATATAAAAAGAAGTCCATGAGTGAAACCATGGAATGAGAAGAAATGAATGCCTAAGAGAACTCCAAAAACTCAAATGACTAGACAGAAAGACTGAAAGACAAGGAAAAAGTAAGCAGAATTGGGAATAAAATCGGCTATTGCAGTATTATGGCAGCTGAAGAAGGAGAGAAGGCAGCAGATCAGATGCAGACTGAAAAATGAAGATGAATACTGAAAAGTGTCTGCTATATTTAACAACATAGAAGGTAAAGCAGACTGTTGGGGGTAGTGACACATGCCTATAATCCCAGCACTTGGAAGACTGAGGCAGGTGAATCACTGCAAATTCAGCATCAGCCTAGGCTACATAGTGAGTTCAAGGCCACCCTGAACTGCATAGTAAAACTCTGTCTAAAAAAAAAGTCAGACCAGGGATTTAGCTCAGTGGTTCTGCCATAGATGCCCAGTACCAAAAAAGTTAAATTAAATTAAAAAGTTACTCCAGAGTCATAGATACGGAAAACCAGAGGGAGTGGGTTTAGCAGAGTGGAGGAAGAGGATATAGAAATGATATACACTGAGAACTCTTGAAAGAACAGAGATGTAGGGTAGAAGGGGTGTGTGTGTGTGTGTGTGTGTGTGTGTGTGTGTACGTGCATATGTATAAGAGATTTACATGTATTTAGAAGGATTCAGTTGAGGCAAAGTTGTGCATGAGAGATGTAAGATTGTAAAGGATGACAGTCAGAAACATTTGAGGGGAGTGGCCTTCAAGAAGAGAGATAGTTGGAAAGAATGGGAACTTGTGCAGAGGTAGATAGGTTTTCATGTTTGATGGCTGAAGGAAGATGGGGGAAACAAGCACTTCTGTGAATGAAGAAATGTATTCAAGACAAATATCAGACTGGCCCTAAATAGGATCAGATCCTTCATTCTTTTACATACTCATGCAATATACACACTATCTTAGTTACTTTTTTCATTACTGAGACAAAATACCCAACACCCAAAGCTAAAGAAGGAAAGGTTTATTGTATCTTACAGTGTGTAGAGGTTTCAGTTCATAGTTGGCTGGCTACAAGGCAGGGTGGCATGGCAGACGGACAGAGGGGAAATAGCTCATGGCAAGCAGAAGGAAGCAAAGTAGCAAAGAACAGCAATAATAACCTGCCTTCCCCTTTTATCCCTTCCAGATTATCCACCCTTTGGGTGGTGCCATCCACACCCAGGTCAGCCTTCCCATTATCCACACTCAGAACTACACACACACCTAATCCCAGCATCATGCACCCTAAATCCAGCCACCTCTGAAAAGCCCCACCTATACAGCACATGAGGCTTGAGAGAGAACATCTAGATACACACACATCTAATATTTATAAAGTGAAAAATTCCAAACTACACACACACACACACACACACACACACACACTTTATAAGGCCCTTCATTTAGAGAAGAAATGCTGTTGTCATCACAGTGCTAGTTGATCAAACGTATGGCCTCACATTGTAAGGCAAGTGCTCTACCACTGAGCTATATCCTCAGCCCATGAGGTACTTCTAAATTTCCAGATAATATTAAATTTTTCTGAGTACCACTCCAGTGATCTTTCTGGGTTTAGTGGTTAAAGAAATTACCACATGTATTTCATTTTAGACAGATTTGAGAAAAGGTCATTTGGAGAAAAAAATTTTCATATCATATTAGTAAAATGAAATTTTCTTAATTCTTAGTAACGTCTACAGAAAGGGACCTGAGAGTTGTAGTCTCTTTGATAGAAATGGTGGACATTCTGGGTGTTCTGATGAAAAGACCAATTAAATACATTCTTGGAAGACACTGGAACAGGAAAAGCTAACCCATTTAAAAAGCACATACTAAACTCCTAGTGCAATTTTTACACAGCATACTATGTTGAAATATGACTCCTCAAGAGAAACAGCCAAGGAGGAACGTGGTCAAAGAAAGGACAACTCAAATTATAACAGAGAACACCATAAACTTGCAAGACATACAAGTCTTATCTTTATCTATAAATAGTGGGACAAGACAAATTAGTCTTCAAAATTAAAAGAAGAATTTAAAAAAAACCAGATCTGTCCCTGTTTCTGTTATTAAACTTAAAGAAGCCTCTCAAAGAATTAAATAAGTCAATTATTTAAACCAATCAAAAGAAATAATGTTTATTTCCCAAGATATAAATTTGGGAGATGAACTCAGTTTATGACCGACCAAAGCATCTGGGATTGAAACTTGAGCAGGAAGGGTAATTCCCATTGAAACCAAGTTAAACATTTTCAGATATCCAGCCTTGGTTCTTGGTCCTGGTCCAGCAATCTCAGGCCTGGACAATGTGAGAAGTCTTTCTTGGAAACAGCAACCAAGATAAAAAGGAAAATACAGTCTCCCCAGGTCTGATCCCTGCTAGTTCTCTGTCCTAGCCTGGTCAGTCTGGCAATCCTAATAATCATAACACCCCTCTTTATTCCCTCCCCTGAAGTTTACCACCAACATCCAGACCCAGAAGTCCTCAATCCCCATCTGCCTTAGTCTAATCTCTGAGGGTCCTGGTATTTGAACGTATCTGTCCTGAGTCCATGGCCTTCACTGCTATTCACCCACTTGCTCGTGTGTTTAAGAGGGCAAACAGGTGTGGAGGGTAGGACTCAGGGTATACCTGATGATATGCTATCCTGCCATCAGGAACCCTCTGCCTGCTGGGAAAGGAATCTTGCCCCAGGTCTTGGCTGCACCCATCTTTTCCACTTGGTTCTATATGGATCCTGACTACTATTATCTTACCCTCACAGAAAGTTGAGGAAGCGAGCGGCCAAAGCCTCAGCCCGACGCCCCAAATCCCCTGGAAGGTAATGGGGCAAGAGCCCTGGGACCTCCTGCTTGCCCCTGAGGCCCCAGGAGGTGGATGGATGGATGGTAGCCTATCCATGTCCATCCTAGAACCCAAGCTAATGAATTAGGCACGTGACTCAGAAAATGGCCATTCCTGGGGGAGGGAAGGGAGGTAGGTATGGGGATGGACAAGCTTTGATCTTAGGAAACAGGGGAGGAAATAATGTGGGATCAGTTGAGGCGACAACTCCCATCTTTATAGTTCCCCCAAATTCATGGACTGCAGCCTTTGACACCTGTACTCCTCCTCCCCCAACTCCCTTCCTCCCTTAGTTAATCCACATTTTCATTCTTTCTCCTCCCTTGACCTTTCCTCTGACCTCCTCTCCTCTCCCCTACCCGGGTTTCCATAACTATATTTCCCATCACTCACTGAATGCAGAGAACAACCCAAAGTCCTGTGATATACACATTCCTATGGTGTTCAGCAGCCAGCATATGCAAGAAATTCTGCAACCCTTGACTTTTCCCTTCCCACAATCTGCATGAAGGGTCCTTACCAGAAACAGAAAAATAACCCTCTACCTTTCCTAGGCCACATACTTAGCCACTGGCCTCACCATCTTTCTCCTTTTTGCAGACCAATCACCAAGCTTAAAGTCAAACCCAAATCCCGAGTGGGCAGGGGGCCAATCAAGAGGTAAATGATGTTGTGGCTGGATGGAGAGGTGAGGGAGTGAAGAGTCATGAAGTTGGGGAAGTCAGACTGTGATCAGGGAGGGCTCAAAAGAGACCTGTTTGGCTGACAGAGGAGCAGAAGCTATGAGGAAATACCTTCCAGGTTTTAATAGAAATTTTAAGTATGACTGACCCTATGTTAGTCTCTGGGAAATTATGCTTGTTGGATTTTTGGTTTTATTCCACCTGCTTATCTTCTTTCACTTGGAGTTCTAATAAGACAATCACCTTTCTCCTTGAGACTCCATACCATGCTAAGGGGTTATATTTGCCAAAGGGACCAGTGATTCCCATCCTACCTTTATTTGAGTTTCTCAAAATGTTGCCCATTCACCTGAGGCAGCATGAGAGTCACAGTCCCCTGTGGTGCCTTTCCAGGGATGGAGTGAAAAGCACAGTCCCTGCCTCTCTGGCTCAATCTATACATTCAGGCTCCCTGTTCCATAATTTTCTTCCTGGGCTCTTTCAGAACTCAAGGGAATGGGAACCTTCCAACCTTTCTATCTAAATTGTTTACAAAAGGCAGTTTACATATTAAAAATCTGCTTGATGGCTTCTTCAGCAGTGACTGGGGTTCAGAAAATTCATCCCTTTCTATTGTCCTCTCCTCTCTTCAACAAGTTCCAGATCACCCAGTGGCACCCTGGCCCTCACTCCCCAGCTTCTCCCTCTGGTGGCTGGCTGCAAAGGAACTCAGAATTTAAGCATGTTCTTGTAGCATCCTTCTGGTTTAGGGTTATCTTTGCCCAACATAGTCATCCTCTGGCCTTCCCTGACCATCACATTGCAACATAATCTGCTGTTTTTATTTTATTAGTCATAGAGGAAGGGAAGGAAGAAGTTTAGAAGATAGATAGATGTCTTTTTTTCCTAGGATGCCCTCTCTGACTTTTATTTTCAGCAACACAGAACTATGTCTTTGATATTCAGGATCCATTTATCCTGAGCTTCCAAAAGTATTCTGCAAAATCTGCAAGCTTCCTTTGCCTATTTTGTTTACTACAAGTAACCTTTCCTTCTCCCTCTGTCCTCCTAGCCAATGTTTTCAAGCTGTTATAATCTTCCCTTCCTCTGACAAGGGATAGGGCACATTACTGCAATAATTCCCCACCAGATCCCACCCATGCCAACTCTCATGTGCTTCCCTTTCTCCCGGAGCTCCACCCAGCTGTTTTGGCAAGGGTGCTTCTCTTCTATACACACTTCGCTGCAATCTCTTATTCCGCTGGAATCCATGAACAAGTCCCTTCCTTCTCTCAAGTATCTCTTTGCAGTATCTCCAGGATTTAACACCTCTAGTTCAGTCCCATTTTCTTGCCCAAATGGCTGTAGGACATTGTTAGGTTGAAGCTGCAGAAGCATGGACCAAATCACTTCAACAGTTCAGCTCCAGTCCTGGGTTGTCTTTGTCATTTTGTTAGTCACATCCACTTTCCTTTCCCACTGTGTAGTCCCTCCAGCTTTTGTCTGTCCTGCATTCGTACATCCCTTGCATATACCAGCGCCACACCTTCTGATGGCTAGCACCTGGTCTGTTCTTTCTACAACTGCCCATTGTACTTTATCCTCAGGGTTTCTCATCTGGAAGCCCCAGTGGCCTCTAAGAAGCCACTGAGAACCGAGACTTCCTCTGTCCTTTGCATCCCGACTGGTTTAGTCATTTCAGTCTCAAGATAATAGAAAGGACTGCTCACTTGGTGACTCTGACTTCCTGTTTGTGTCAGCCGCTCCTTCCTGACCATCTCTTCCAGCTGAGTAGTCCTGGCTTCCCATTCAATTTGCATAACAGCCTTAGCCTCAGCCTCCTTTAGAGCCAACAGCCTGAAACTACTAGGAACAAGGTTTCATCAGGCAAGTCAGGACTGGCCATCCTCCTCCTAGGATTCTTCTACTGTAGAAGGTCCCCAAGGGTCCTCCTGTCTGGGAAGTAGAGGCTCTTTCAGCCTACATACTCAACAATCTCTTTGTCTCGAAGAAAATGGAAGAAGGGGAAGAAGAGGGGTACATGGGTATGAGAGGATGGGGCCATGGTAGAGGCATGAGCTGGTAGATAATTGTGGTGCAGGGAGGCAGAAGCATTGTTTTACCCTATTGCATCTCACTCCTGTGCCCTCAGGTTGCTGGCTCAGCGGCAGCAACACTTCTTTGGTCTGCACGGAGTGGCATGTGTGGGCACAGAGGCCCACCTCTCCCTCTGTTCCCTGGAGTTCTATCGTGCCAATGACACCGCCAGGTGTCCTGGGGGCGCTCCTGTGGTGGTGAGCTGTGTGGCTGGCCCTCTCTACTCTACGTCCAATGGCCAGAAGAAACAACAACACTCAAGGCCTCAGGGGGAGGTATGTGAGAGACTATGTCCTTTCCCACCCCAGGTGGAGAACCTCTGGCTTGGCCAATCCCTCACTAAGCACAGCCCTGACCATTGAGGGCAGAAAAGAACCTTGGGGGGGGTCACACACCCAACACACCCACTCCCTCCCTCCCACCAAAAATCCTTTATCATCCAGGACTGCTTAGCCCTCCTAGGTATCCACCTCTGCTGGGCACACCTCTCTTCTATAGGCTCGAGTGCGTCTGAAGGGTGGTGCCCATCCTGGAGAGGGCCGAGTGGAAGTCCTGAAGGCTGGCACGTGGGGCACAGTCTGTGACCGCAAGTGGGACCTGCAGGCAGCAAGTGTGGTGTGTCGAGAGCTGGGCTTTGGCAGTGCTCGAGAGGCTTTGACTGGCGCCCGCATGGGACAGGGTGAGGGGGCAGGGAGATAGGACATGAGCAGGGGGGCTCACACTCCTTGGGAGTAAATTATTCCTGGCAAAGTAAGGAGTCCTCTGGGCAGTTAAGGTATAATTACTACCTCCTGAGCTGTGACTTCTGGCCTAGGCATGGGTGCCATCCACTTGAGTGAAGTTCGATGTTCTGGCCAGGAGTCCTCCCTCTGGAAGTGTCCCTCCAAGAACATCACTGCTGAGGACTGTTCTCACAGCCAGGATGCTGGAGTCCGATGTAACCTGCCCTACACTGGGGTGGAGACCAAGGTCAGTCATACTTTCCACCTTGGTTCAGGCATCCATATCTCATTCTATTCAGTCCTAACCTCCAGTGCATATAGCCTTATAGTCCCCAGTATATTGTCTCAGTCCCCTACTGTCCCAAAGCTCCCACCTGCCCCCACGACTCACTAGACCTTTACATGCCTCTGAATCACTCTTTTTGCCACATTCCTGCTACAGACTGTCACCACTGCACCAAAGAGCTTCTCTGAGTGCTTCCATTGTGTCTCTACAGATTCGACTCAGTGGGGGCCGCAGCCGACATGAGGGGCGAGTCGAGGTGCAAGTAGGCGGACCTGGGCACCTCCGCTGGGGCCTCATCTGTGGGGATGACTGGGGAACGCTGGAGGCCATGGTGGCCTGTAGACAGCTCGGTCTGGGCTATGCCAACCATGGCCTACAGGTAAGTAAAAAGGAGAGGAACCAAAGCCATTGTCTCAAAAGCCTGTGCTTTGGACAAAGGACTGTGGAAATGAGTCCCTTGGCCCAGAAGGCTGCACCTACTTATGTCTGCAGGAGACCTGGTACTGGGACTCAGGGAATATAACCGAGGTGGTGATGAGTGGAGTGCGCTGCACAGGGATGGAGCTATCCCTGGACCAATGTGTCCATCATGGCACTCATGTCACCTGCAAGAGGACAGGGACCCGCTTCACCGCTGGAGTCATCTGTTCTGAGAGTGAGTGAAGGGTAAGGGATAGCAAGCCAGGGAAGGCTCTAGGCCCACCTTTGGCAGGGAGAGAAGGGGCTGTCATCTGGAAGGGTACTTCTTCCCCATAGAAAGCAGTCTCACGTTGTGGGGAATGGAAGCACACCCTTCCATCCCTGCCCCTCAGCAGTGACTTGTCACTCTCCTTTCTCATGCAGCAGCCTCTGATCTGCTGCTGCACTCTGCACTGGTGCAGGAGACTGCCTATATCGAGGACCGGCCCCTGCACATGCTGTACTGTGCTGCAGAAGAGAACTGCCTGGCCAGCTCCGCCCGCCTGGCCAACTGGCCTTATGGCCATCGACGTCTGCTCCGATTCTCTTCCCAGATCCACAATCTGGGACGAGCAGACTTCAGACCCAAGGCTGGGCGCCACTCCTGGGTGTGGCATGAGTGCCATGGGTGAGAGGGTAAAGGGGTCAGGTAGAAGACTAAGGCCATAGGGAATGGGGCAGGCCTGCTTGGGTCAGGGAAAACAGGTATTCCCTTTACCCCTTATCCCCACAGGCATTACCACAGTATGGACATCTTCACTCACTATGATATTCTGACCCCCAATGGCACCAAGGTGGCGGAGGGCCACAAAGCAAGTTTCTGTCTAGAAGACACTGAATGTCAGGAGGGTGAGTTGGGCCTGGAGTGGACTTTGGCACCTCCAAAGCCTTTCCTTTCACTGACATATGCCAATCCCTTCAGATGTCTCCAAGAGGTACGAGTGTGCCAACTTTGGAGAGCAAGGCATCACTGTGGGTTGCTGGGATCTCTACAGACATGATATCGACTGTCAGTGGATTGACATCACAGATGTGAAGCCAGGAAACTACATTCTCCAGGTGCTTGCAGTCTGATGCTTCCACGTGGTGGGCAGGAGTCTTAAAACCACTTTGGGTTTGAGGGTTGCAGCTGGGTCAAGTGGTCATTCTCTCATTCACAGGTGGTCATCAACCCAAATTTTGAAGTAGCAGAAAGTGACTTCACTAACAATGCAATGAAGTGTAACTGTAAATATGATGGACATCGCATCTGGGTGCACAACTGCCACATTGGTATTTGATGGGAAAAACAACAGAAGATTGGAGGCTGGGAGGGAAAGGCTTTCATCCTCTTTTCCCTAAGTGTCTTCCCACCCATTTCTACACCTGTCTCTTCACTTCTACCCACCCTTCCCCCCAATGGGTCTGCCTTCCTGCTTCTGTACAAGGCACCACCCACACTGCCTGTCCACTCTGCCTACAGGTGATGCCTTCAGTGAAGAGGCCAACAGGAGGTTCGAACGCTACCCTGGCCAGACCAGCAACCAGGTTGTCTAAAATGTCACCACCATCCTCTTCAAACCACCACTGGCCCCCAGTGGTAAGGGTCTGAGGCTGCCATTACCTCAGGAGCTTACCATGGAACCCTTGATGGTAGCAGGCCCACCACATTCATCCACCCATGGACTGTGGATATGGAAATGACAAGCAGAAGTTTTTCTTCCCAGACTGGTTGTCAGTATCTGTGCCAGCATGGAGATCTCTGTTCCTAGGCCCAGCATGGAGCAGATCACACCAATGAGCAGCAACTGACTAAATTCCCAGAATATCAGATGGCAGCCACTCATTTTCTTGAATATGAGGTCAGGAGGACCAGCTCCCACTATCTCCCTTGAGAGGGGATACAGCTTTACCTCTAGTGTTTTGGTGGGGGAAAAGATCCAGCTACCTTCCCCCATGTTTGACTATAAGATGTTGCTAGGTATAATTTTATTTTAGGTGAAAAGGTTTTTGTTTTCGTTTTTGTTTTTGGTACCGGGGATCGAACTCAGGTCCTTGTGCTTGCGAGGCAGACAGTGGAACCGAGCTAAATCCCTGACCTATAATTTTATTTTATATAAAAAGTATTCTTGTGATTGTTCAGAGCCCAGGGACTGGTCCTGGTGGTTGGAGGGGCCTGCACCCCCGCTGGTTCAGTGAATCCTCTGCCCAGGTGCCCTCAGAACCTAGGCTAGGAAGGCAAGTTGGAAATCAGAGCAAGAGCCTCACACTCTCGCTAATCCAGTCATTCTGTAATCTCAGGGGTCACATATAAAGTCAGGGTTTCTGGTCCCCGCCGGATTCGCACTGCCAGCTGCGATTGAGTTCGAACAGCTTCATAAACATCTTCAGCATTTTGTACCAGCTGCTCCCCAATGGCCAAGATCACATCACCAGGCCGTAGACCAGACCTACAGAGAAGGATGGACAGAGAGAAATAAGGGAGTACACAGCTCAGTTCAAGGACTCATGCATACTCCCCCTGCCCCACCTCACAGAGCAGTCTCTCCTTCACCTGTGTGCAGGGGAGCCCAGGATGACTTTATGGATGAGTACACCATGCTGAACGTCAGGAAAGCTTGGCTCTCGGAGCTGTAGTTCAGCAAGGATGCTGAAAAGACACAGATCAACCTATTAGCTACCGTCAGGCACTCTCCCCATTTTGAGTTCACCTCAAGTCCCTCATCAACACACTGGTAAATGTGTGGCCAGGACACATACTAGGCACTACAGGTACAAAGACAGCTCACTTTCTGCCTTCTAGCAGTTATAAAGTAGGATATGTATACAAAAGAAAACTTAATTCTAAATGACACACGGTGTTAAATGAGTAATACTAGTAACATTCCAGAATCCTAAGAGAAGCTTTAAGGAGGGAGAATTTAAGCTACACCTAGAATGATGGGTCTAATATAAACTATATAGAAGAGTATAAAGACATAGGTGCGGGGTAGCAGGTTGGCTGCACTGATGGGCTTGTTGCTCATCACTGATTCTACACATCACTACCATTAATGCTCATACCTGGGAGTAAGAGTCAGCATCATCACTCCAATGTAGCGGCGCTGGGATCCACTAATTCCAAACCAGGAATCTATGAAAGAGGTGCAATGAGACCACACCCTGCTACATCCTTCTTTCCCTTCCTTCTCCACCCAATGAACACCCCTTCCCATGTCCCATTCATCACTTTAAAAGAATCCCTTTTCCCTCTACCAGACTCACTTTTCTTTTCCCCACGTCGCAGAAACTCTCTAAGGCGATCAGAGGGGATGGCAAACGAGATTCCAGCTGTGACCTTCATCGTGTTCACTCCAATCACCTCACCATCCTGCAGGGACACAGCCCCTGTCCCCAAGCCCAAACAGATAGCAGGGGATGGGGCATCTAAACAAGAGTATCAAGGATTGTTGGAGGGGGCTGGTTGGATACTGGGAGATACCAAGCAAGGGACTCCCTGAACCACACTTTCTTGAAATTAGAGAAAACCCACCCTCCCCATACTGACCTTGGGCAGGGATTCTTAGAAGGAAAGATATCTCACTCACCAGGTTAACTAGGGGACCTCCAGAATTTCCAAACTGTAGGACATGAAAAAAACATGGAAGAAATCAGGGGATTCTAATAAGCCTGGGAGCATATCTGAGAAGTAAGCACTTTTCCAGATTCTTTCCTTCACCAGTCCACGAATAAATGCTTACATTTTTGCAGCCCAACCTCAGTACAAATGCTCACCCAATGTACATCAGTTGGTGCTGTACCACACAGAACCTCTGCTCCCCCAAACTACTTTGTCATTTTTCTCGTATAGGAACATACGTCAATAGCTGCATCAGTCTGAATGTATTCCACATTGGTTTGGGGGAGTCCCAGGTCTCTGGCTGGACGCTGAGCAGAGCTGACAATGCCAGATGTGATTGTGTTCTGCAGCGCAAATGGACTTCCCATAGCAACAACAAACTCGCCTTGTCGGACATCAGCTGAGCGTCCCAGGGGCAGCGTGGGTAGAGGCTCCTAGGGAAAAATGGGTACAAGAAACCTGTCATCTGGAGATGGGAGCAAGTAAACAGTTGCAGCCAGACTTAGCCTACTCCCACCTCACCTTGGTCTGAATCCTCAGCGTGGCAATATCTGCCACAGGATCCACAGCTGTAACCACAGCCTCATATGTGTCGCCGCTAGGTAGCCTCACGCGGACACGGCGCCGATCAGCCACCACATGGGCATTGGTAACGATGAGCCCATCAGCAGCCACCACGAATCCTGAGCCATTTGAGATAGGGACTTCACGGCCCGAAAAAGGGTGCCTGAAATTGGAAAAGCATTGATAATATGAAGAAGCTTTCACCCTCCGCCTGCCCTCTGACTGTAGCTTCCATGCCTCCCTGTCTATCCCATTACCGGTCCAGGATCTCGATATACACCACGGCAGGTGCAGTCTTCTCCACCACATCTGCAATGAAGTTATACTGGCTCCGGGGAGAGGTGGGCGGTGGAGCAAGGACAGCGGCGAGGACAGCTGGAGAACTCCGACCCCAGCCCCACAGCAACAGCACTGCGCCCCCAACGCCCAGAGCCACCGCCAGCCACGAGCGCGGATGGGTTCCAGGGGTACCGGAGGCCTCCTGGATCTGGGGATCTGGAGTCTCCGAAGTCAGTCGTCCCGAGGTCCAAGATGTCAAACAAGCACGAGGTTCAAGGACCCCTAGAGACAACCGGGACTGGAGACTGAAGGTCCCATAAGTCCCCCGGGCCCGGGAGTAAGGAATTCCTGACGTCAGCAAAGCCCGAAGGTCAGGGGTCAACAGGGGTCCCTTCCCGCAGAGAATGCCCCCCAAAGCCCGCCATCCCCGGAGAAGCAAGCCTGCACCCCGCCCCGCCCTCAGGGCAGCCATCAGCTCCACCTCGGATGCCTCCTCGCCCGCCCAACTCGGAGGCGGTGCCCAGGACCCGAGCTAGCAGACAGCGAGACGCTGGGCACGCCGGAACCTGAAGTCCTCCAAAAGTGCATGCCGGGACCCAAGATTCCCAGACACCAACTCCGCCCCGTCCCACGAATGCTGGGAACTGTGGTCCCCTCAGGACGTGAGTTCTCGGGCGGCCCAGGGGGCCGCAGGGCATGCTGGGTCCGCTAGCCCTTCCGGGGCGCCTCCGGACTTCGGTTCGCACACCTTGGCTGATGCCCAAAGACTCCGCCTTCCCAGGATCCCCTGCGGCCCGGCGCAAAGATGGCGGCAGCGGCGGCCTGGCTGCCCTGAAACAGCTGCGATGGAGCCTCTCCCGGCACCCGGGCCGGAGCGGCTCTTTGACTCGCACCGGTAAGAGCCCCGGAGGGAACAGGAGAGCTCCTACGTGTTCTCGGCCTTCCGTGCCTGATCATCACTTCCCCCGCCCTCAGGCTCCCGGGTGACGGCTTCCTGCTCCTCGCGCTGCTTCTCTACGCGCCAGTCGGCTTCTGCCTCCTAGTCCTGCGCCTCTTTCTTGGAATCCACGTCTTCTTGGTCAGCTGCGCGCTGCCTGACAGTATCTTCCGCAGGTTCCGACTCGGGCGCTTAGGGAGTGTCTGGGCTGGGCCGGACCGAGGCCGCACAGTCACCACAGCCTGTGCCCTCAGGTTTGTAGTACGGACCATGTGTGCGGTGCTGGGACTCGTGGCCCGCCATGAAGGCTCTGGACTCCGGGATCCCCGCGTCAGGGTCCTCATTTCCAACCATGTGACACCTTTTGACCACAATATAATCAACCTACTCACCACCTGTAGCACCGTGAGTGGGGGCAAGGCCTAGAGCGCCACCGGGTGGCTCCCTGGGCCCTAGCTCGAGGTTCACCTATCCTGTTTAGTTCTCCCTTGGGATATACTGACTCTTACCCTCGTTTCACTGCACCACTTACCATTTTTTCTCATTTCCTTCCATTCTTTTCATCTTACTTTCTCTGCTCCCTGTTCCCAGCCTCTCCTCAATAGTCCTTCCAGCTTTGTGTGTTGGTCTCGGGGCTTCATGGAGATGGATAGGCGGGTGGAGTTGGTGGAGTCACTTAAGAGATTCTGTGCCTCCACAAGGCTTCCTCCCACCCCGCTGCTGCTGTTCCCCGAGGAAGAGGCCACCAATGGCCGGGAGGGTCTCCTGCACTTCAGGTGAGTGAGCACAGGGTCCAGCTGGGTAGGTCCGTCAAACTTGCAGGCCTTTGGGTTTTCCCAACCCTCAGCTCTTATCCCATTTCATCCCAGTTCATTTCTTTTCTGTTGACCTTTAATTCTTTCCGCCGAATCTGTATTTTCTATTTATCTGCCAGTGCTGCCTTACCAGTTTCCCATTTTTAGTTAGACAAGAGCTGCTAATGGGGCTAGCTGGACTCCATTCTGTTCTTTTTTCTCTTCTAGTTCCTGGCCATTTTCTATCCAGGATGTGGTACAGCCTCTTACCCTGCAAGTTCAGAGACCCCTAGTTTCTGTGGTGAGTGTGTGTTGGACAGGGACTCTCTGGGGTTTGGAGGGGAAGTTTTCCAGCCCTGGCCCTGGCCCTGGCCCTGGCCTTACTTCATACCCTCCCCTCAGACGGTGTCAGATGCTTCCTGGGTCTCAGAACTGCTGTGGTCACTTTTCGTCCCTTTCACGGTGTATCAAGTAAGGTATTAACTGTCCTCACTTTTGGTGGCTGGGGAGAGGCTCACCTCAAGGTCGTAGTGGCCTCTGCCTTGTCTATTTGTAGCTTTTTTAATATCAAGGTCCCACCACAGAGGCAACAGTTTACCATATCCCCACCCTCACTACCACTGTTCCATGAAGAGAGGTACCAAAGTGGAGAAGAGATGATCTAATACAGCCCTGGATTACTTTTTGCAGGTGGCTGCATCCTGTTCATCGCCAGCTCGGAGAGGGCAATGAGGAGTTTGCACTCCGTGTACAACAGGTGGTGGAGTACACTAGCAGGGTGGAGGTGGGCTCTCCTTAGGGAGAGGAGGAGAAAGCATGGCAGTCTTGACACTTACAGCCTTCCAATTCTCCTAGCTGGTGGCCAAGGAACTGGGCCAGACAGCAACACGGCTTACTCCAGCAGACAAAGCAGAACACATGAAACGACAAAGACACCCCAGGTTGCGCCCCCAGTTAGGTGTGTGGTCTATACATAGAGCTTTTTGAACTTATTTCACACTGCGGCAATTTCTTCCCTATTCCTAGACTAGTCAGCCTCTTCTTTTTCCTAATGTTCTACTTAATCATATTTCTGAATTTTTTGCTTTCAGCCCAGTCTTCCTTCCCTCCCTCTCCTGACCCTTCTCCTGATGTACAGCTGGCAACGCTGGCTCAGAGAGTCAAGGAGGTTTTACCCCATGTGCCATTGAGCGTCATCCAGAGAGACCTTGGTATGAGAAAGGGTGGCCTCACACAAAGTGACAAACACAGGGAGGAAAAACTAGGCTATGAAGGAAGAGGTGAGCAGAGAATGGACTCCCCTCTTCTCTCTTCCTTTCTTCCTAGCGAGGACTGGCTGTGTAGACTTGACCATTACTAATCTGCTTGAGGGAGCTGTAGCTTTCATGCCTGAAGACATCACTGAGGGAACCCAGTCCCAGCCCACAGTATCTGCCCCAAAGGTGAGACCCAAAAGCAATCAAGTCCAAGACTGGGGTAGGTTGGGGCAGTCTACATACTATCCCTGACTTATCTTTTTGATCATGAGACCCTAGCATAGTGCCTCTCTTGCAAAGTAGGCATAGGATTCGTGTTTAATGATGATGACTTCGCAAGCCCTCTGACATTGTGATCACCTCAGTTCCCCAGCTCTGGCCTGGTGACCCCTCAGCCCACAGCCCTAACATTTGCCAAGTCTTCCTGGGCCCGCCAGGAGAGCCTGCAGGAGCGCAAGCAGGCGCTGTATGAATATGCAAGAAGGTGAGGGGTTAGACAACGAGTAGGAAGGGGCAAGTTGGAGAAGGGTATTAAGGAGCCAATATGACAAAGCCTACATGATGTCTTTCCCCATGTTCCACAGGAGATTCAGAGAGAGACAGGCCCAGGAGGCTGACTGAGCTTAAAGGATGATACTCAGAACCGCAGGACGGAGACTGGGGGCAGCCCTCACCCGACTCAAAAAAGGCCGGATGAGTGGGTGGTAAAAAGGGAGGGACGGGGCTCCCCCAATCTCATATTAAATACAGGGTTTTCACTCAAGGTCTCTGTTGCCTCTCTGGGTTTCACAATCCTCTGAGTAGGTTTCTCTTCCTTTGGTTAGAGGGTATGGGGCTGAGAGTCTCCATAGGTTTTTGAGGGATGTCTGAAATGATCTTATGCTAGAAGATGAATGACGTTAAGGAAATGTAAATGAAATGAAAACACAACCAGATTCCAGCTTCAGTGTTCATCCAAGTTTGTGAAGCTTCTATGGAAAACTGCAAGTCCCAGGATGCCTTTCACAAGCACAAGACTGGAGATCACACATGTTCATTGTGGTGGCAGGAGAATGTTTTCTATAGGTTCCTGGCTAGGTTAAATAAGGTGGAGCATGTTGCCCTGCCTTAAAAGCAAGCATCTGGATTGGAGTTTGAGCTTAACCCCAGGGTGGAGCCGGAATTTACCTTTGTACTTCAGGCAGTCAGCAGTTGACTGGGTGGGTCTGGAACTGGCTGCCATCCTGACGTCTCAGAGCTGCAAGCAGGTTTGAATCCGGGATCCTTGTGGCCCTTCTATGACTACCTCATTCTTTATTTTTTCACCCCTGGGACCTCCCCCAGTTTACTGTGTCTCAGAAATCTTGCTGCCTGCAAGGACCCCTGGTTAATCATAAGACTTACTACCCAACTACCAGGTAAAAGTCCACTTTGATGATTCCTTAGAAACACCTAGTACTATTTCCTGGCAAACAGGAAAGCCTGAGAAGCATGGACCCCAGGGCATTATTACCTGAGGATAGATGTTAAAAATTAGGGCTGGGCCAGGGATTTAGCTCAGTGCATCCACCGCCTGACAAGCACAAGGACCTAAATTTGATCCCTGGTACCAAAAAAAAAAAAGAATTAGGGCTGAGGTGGGGAGATGATGTCAGTAACCAAATAGGCTTTACTAGCTGCCCTGCCTTCTGTAGGTCCTTGTGGACAGCCACCATGGCCTCTCAGCCTCTTAGGCTGACAGAAGAGTCTGACCCAAGTCCTGGGGAGTCTGAACTGGCTGTGAACCCCTTTGATGGGCTCCCTTTCTCCTCCCGCTACTATGAGCTGCTTGAGCAACGCCGAACCTTGCCCATCTGGGCTGCTCGCTTCCTCTTCTTGGAGCATGTGGAGAGTAGCCCCACTGGAGTGGTCCTGGTGTCCGGGGAGCCTGGCTCTGGCAAGAGCACCCAGGTGGAGGGAAACTGGGAGGGGCTAAGAAATTGGCTTTTCCCTGAGGGGTGGACTATATGGGGATGGGGAGGTGGGATGGGCTGGCCTCAGGGTGCTCATCAGAGACCAGGGGACTCATCAAATAGAGTATACTGGCTGTGGCTCCCGAGCACTTTGGCCAGAGTTCTGTGTCTCCCTCACTGGTTGTCCTTTCCTCTCTCCCCATACCCTAGATTCCTCAGTGGTGTGCAGAATTTGCCTTGGCCAGGGGATTCCAGAATGGCCAGGTTACTGTCACTCAACCCTACCCTCTGGCAGCCCTGAGCCTGGCTTTGCGGGTTGCTGATGAGATGGACCTGACTCTGGGTCATGAGGTTGGATATAGCATCCCTCAGGAGGACTGCACAGGACCCAACACTCTGCTCAGGTGGGCTCTTCTGTGGGCCAGTCTGACATCTCACCATAACCTCCCCCATCCCACCTTACCCTTTAAATCCTGCACAGTGCAACTGATAAAATAGGCCCTTGAATCATGGTCAGGGGCCTTAGTCAACCTCAACCTCACTGTGATAGTCTTACTTCTGGTCAAGGCTAGTGAAGCAAATGTCCTCAAAGGGGTTATGGGGTCACAGTTACGGCTCCCCAGGCTCAGGAAGTCAGTCACACCCTTTTCTGACCTTCAGTATTAAAATCTAGAGGACTGTACCTACAATTCTGGGGTTTGTCAGTGTCCACACTGACCCCTGCTTACTACCAATGTCAACAGGTTCTGCTGGGACAGGCTACTTCTGCAGGAGGTGGCCTCAACCCGGGGCACTGGAACCTGGGGTGTGCTGGTGTTGGATGAGACTCAGGAGCGGTCAGTGGCCTCAGATTCACTCCAGGGGCTGTTGCGAGATGCCATGCTGGAAAACCTTCCAGGGAACCCTCGAGTGGTTGTGGTTACTGACCCAGCCCTTGAACCTAAGCTCCAAGCCTTCTGGGGCAATCCTCCTGTTGTGCGTGTACCCGGAGAGGCCAGCAGGAGTCCTGCCCCTATCTACAGGGACAGTGCTCCTGGTGACCGAGTGGAAGCTGCCTGCCAAGCTGTGCTTGAGTTATGTTGGAAGGAGGCTCCAGGAGATGTGCTAGTGTACCTGCCCAGTGAGGAGGTAAAAGGAATGGATTGCAAAAGAAGTTCTTATGTATACTACCTTTCTGTCCCGGGGAAATGGGACTAATGTAGATTAGGAATGGTGGAATGGTAGTACATATTCTCCACCGAGGTCTTGGAGAAAAACCCACGGATTTCAGAGCCAAGGATGATGGTGCATGCCTGTAATCCTAGCAGTCTGGGCAGCTGAGACAGGAGGATCACAAATTTAAGCCTACTGTGGGCAACTTAGCAAGACCCTGTCTCAAAATTAAAACAAACAAACAAAACAAGTAAAACGTAAAAGGTCTGGAATGTAGCTCAGTGCATTCAATTACCAGTACCACAGGAAAATCAAGAATTTCAAGCTGGGCGTAGTGGCACACGCCTGTAATCCCAGCACTTGGGAGGCTGAGGCAGGAGGATCGCTGCGAGTTCCAGACCAGCATGAGCTACACAGTGAGTTCCAGAACAGTCTGAACTACATAGCGAGACTCTGTCTCAAAAAACTAAAAATAAAAAAATAAAGAGAAAAACAAGGATTTCAGGATAGAAATACTTGCTACTCATGTACTGATTCCTTCTAATGCATATATTTCAGTGAACTTCTGAAATCTTCTCATAGCTTTTATCAATTTTTCTAAAGGATCTGTGTGTGACCCCAAAAATGCTGAATACTGCCCTAATGCCTGATCCCTCTCCTCAGGAAATTTCCTTGTGCTGTGAGTCCTTATCCAGGGAGGTAGGGACCCTGGCTTTCCTAGGGCCTCCGCCACAGGTGCTACCCCTTCACCCAGGCTGTGGTCAAGCCATTCAGGCCGTGTATGAGGACACAGACACGGGTGCCCGGAAGGTCGTAGTAACTCATTGGCTGGCTGACTTCTCCTTCTCCCTCCCTTCCATCCGACACGTCATTGACTCAGGATTGGAGCTTCGAAGTGTGAGTGAGAGGTGCGGGGGGAAGTGGGGCTACAAACAGAAATGGCCTGTGATCTGTCTTGACCTTGATTGCGGCATGGGCGATAGGTTTACAGTCCCCAGATCCGAGCAGAATCCCAAGTCTTGAGACCAATTAGCAAGTGTCAGGCAGAAGCAAGACGACTGCGGGCAAGAGGGTTCCCACCAGGTAAGAGCCTTTGCCCTCATCGAGACCCAGCATGAGAAGAGGTGCTGTGTGCAAGCCCTGGTAAACCAATCTACTGTCCCAGATCTTCTTCCCTCAGGATCCTACCTCTGCCTGTATCCGAAGACCCTCCTAGAACTAGAGGCTCCCCCACTTCCCCAGCCCAGGGTGTGTGAAGAGAATCTGAGCCCCCTGATGTTACTCCTAAAGAGGAGACAGATTGCTGAGCCAGGGGAGTGCCATTTCCTAGACCCGCCTGGTGAGCACCCATCCTGCCCAGCTGCTGCCCTCTGACTACCTGACTCAGACTTCATGCCCTCTAAGCCCTGTCTTTGCCAGCTCCAGAAGCACTGATGCAAGCCCTGGAAGACTTAGACTATCTGGCAGCCTTGGATGATGACGGGGACCTGTCAGACCTGGGAGTCATCTTATCAGAGTTCCCCCTGACCCCTGAGCTGGCCAAAGCCCTGCTGGCCTCGTGCGAGTTCAACTGTGTGGATGAGATGCTCACCCTCGCCGCCATGCTCACGGGTATATTTATAGATTCAAGCCCCAAGGGAGTTGGAAATTACAGCACATTAGGTGGGGTCTTGTTTTTGTTTTCTCAGTACTAGGGATCTTGCTAGGTAAGCACTGTGCCACTGAGCTACAGCCCTGGCCCCTCTCTGTATAAATTACTGCTATGAGTCACTGGCTCCTGCACCTTGTGTTTTAGTGCTCCTACAGCGGGCCCTTTCCTCTCTGCTCTAATTCACAACCTCACAGTGCCTGAAGAACCAGGTATAAGCCAGCTATCCCTTTCATCTCTGTAGACTTTTCTCTGTACTTCTTGTCCTTTGGTGTGCTTAAACCTCTCCCATCTGTTATAACAGAAACCCACACGCCCTCCTCCTCACGCTCATCCTCCCCTCAGCTATACCAGTGGTGGTGAACCTTTGGTACACATGTCACAGCCAGCTGTTATCACTGAAAGCTCTAAAGGTTTGCATCATGGAGCTATACTATCTAGTCTCTATCCCACCCACTGCACCTGGCTTCAGGCCCATGTATCACTGAAACAACTTTCAGCTCATCAGGGACCTTTCAGATGTCTAACCCAGTGGATACTTCTGAGCCTTTATGGGTGACTTTTTTTTGTTTTTTTGAGACAGGGTCTCACTATGTAGTTGAGACTGACCTGGAACTCACTATGTAGCTCAGGCTGGTGTCGAACTCACAGTGATCCTCTGGCCTCAGCCTACCAAGTGCTGGGATTACAGGCGTGCGCCACCACACCCGGCATGTCACGCTGCCTTTGTACTTAACAGTGCCTCAACTTTGTACCCTGTATCTCTACCGGTACCATTCTTCTAGATCTTAGGAAAAAGGAAGGGGTAAGAGAAGACAGGGAGATCCAACTCCTGATGGATATTTTTAACCAGAATGGTCCACAGTACCTCAGCTCAGAGCTGAACTCTACTAAGCTACCCCTCATAAGCTGGATGTAGTGGTACATGACTATGATCTGAACAGTCTGGGAGACTGAAGCAGGAAGATTTCAAGTTTGAGCCCAGCCCAGGAAATTTAGAGACTTAGCAAGATCCTTTCTATAAATACATAGATACATGCATACATACATAGCTGGAGATGTAGCTCAGAGCAAAGGGCTGAGTTCAATCCCCAGTACTGTAAAAAGAAAGAGACCCACCCCCACCATCACCAGGAAACCTTTTCCTCCCTCTGGATTTTCAGTTTCAGATAATACAATAACCTCTACTAAATCACTACCATCATTCTAGACTAAACTTTCTCTAGATTTTCTTCATTTTTTTCTCCTAAATAAAATTCATCTGCTCTTCTGCATATTCACTGCCAGTGCCATTGTTAGGTCTTCATCACGTCTCACCTGGATCCTGTGAGTAGTATCCTAGCTAGTCATGTGAACATTTCCAAACTCGTGAACCCTCCTATGTAAACAGCTGTTCTTTGCCTTCAAGACAGAAAGTAACTCCTTTGCACAGCACATCTGGCCTCCACCTAGCTCTCCAGTTGTATCTCCTGATATTGTACCACATCATTCCCTCTACCCAACCAGGTGGCTTGCAGTTCCCAAAATATGCCATGGTATTAACTTCTGTCCCTTGTTTCTAGAGTCTTGAATGTTCTCCCTGTCCTTTGTCCACTGAGGTAATTCCTACTTGAATTTCAAAATATGTCCCAAGGACCCCCATCCTTTTCTCCCACATAACCTTCATCAACATAACCCAAGCTGGGATTTACCTGCCCTACCCTTTGTTTCCAGAGTACCATATACATACAGCTGACATGCTTATCACATCTGCTTACTTGGTCTTCCCTAACAGACTCTAATCAGAGACCATCTTTCATTTACATCTGTCCATATCCATGGGAGATTGGTTCCATGTGTATACCATAACCCACTGATATGTATTTCTCTTACGATAAAATGGTACAGTGTTTGCTCATAATCTGTGCATCCCTCTGAATACCTTAAATCATCTGTAGACTACTTATAATGCCTATCACAATGTGAATACTATTTAAATGGTATACTATGGTTTTTTGGGGGGTTTGTTTTGTTTTTGTTTTTTGGGGTGTACCGGGGATCAGACTCAGGATCTTACACTTTCGAGACAGGTTGCAGAACTACTGAGCTAAATCCCTAGCCCTATACTATATTGTTTAAAGACTAATAAGAAAAGAGTCTGGGCCAGTCATGGTGGTGTATACCTGTAATCTCAGTACTCAGGAAGCTGAGACAAGAGGATAGCTGGGAGTTTTAGGCCAGCCTGTGCTACATAGTGAGTTCAAGGCCAGCCCGAACTACACAGCAAGACCCTGTCTCAAAGAATGAAAGCAAAAGAAAGGAAGGAAGAAAAGTCTGTCATGTTCAGTCCAGATGGAATTTTTTCCCATGTATTTTCATTCTTCAGTTGGTTGAGTCCACAAATGCAGAGCCCACAGATACGGAGAGCTGGCTGTATTTATTTTCAGTGTCTAACAGAGTGCAGAACACCTAGAAGTTATCAATGTCTTTTAAATAAAGTTCCCCAAGTGACACAGCTCTTCAGTATTCCACCTATACTACTGTTCTGTCTCATTCTTCAAAACCACTTTCCTCTCTTCTGCCTCCAGCTGCTCCTGGGTTCACTCATCCTCCACTGTGTGCAGAAGAAGCTGCCCTGCGTCGGGCCCTGGAACACACTGATGGTGACCACAGCTCTCTGATCCAAGTTTATGAAGCCTTTATCCAAAGTGAGTGGCCCAGTGCTCGCTTCGGCAGCACATATACCAAAGTGAGTGCCCCACCCTTTTATAGAATCCCAGAGCTTTCGGTGTGTTTTTTGTTTTGTTTTGTTTTGTTTTTTGTTTGGGGGGGTGGTACCGGGGATCAACTCAGGTCCTTGTGCTTGTGAGGCTCCCACAGCTTTCAAAGCAGGTGGTGGTGTGCAACCAGTGGCAGACCTCTGTGCCCAGGAAAAGGAGAATCTCTGCCCAATGGTTGTGTTCTTTCAGAGGTCTGAAGGATTTTATTTTTAGCTGTGTCTTCTCTTCTAGGTGGAGAGGATGAAGCTTGGTGCCAGGCTCGAGGTCTAAATTGGGCGGCATTGTGCCAAGCCCATAAACTTCGGGGAGAACTCCTAGAACTCATGCAGCGAATTGAACTTCCCTTGTCTCAACCAGCTTTTGGCTCTGAACAGAATCGCAGAGACCTTCAGAAAGCACTGGTGTCAGGATACTTCCTCCAAGTTAGGGCAAAGTATTGGGGAGAGGGTGAGAAAAAGAGCAAAAGGCAGAGGGAACAAATATTAGTATGTCACCTCTGAAATTAGTGTCCAAGTGACCATTCAAAATACTTTAGAAGCTGGGGATGGTGGTGCATGCTTATAATCCCAGCCCTTGAGAGGCTGAGGCAGGAAGATCACAAGTTTGAGACCCAGCCAGGCATGGTGGCACATTCCTATAATCCCAGCACTTGGGAGGCTGAGGCAGAAGGATTGCCATGAGTTCGAGCCCAGTGTGGACTGTATAGTAAGTTCAAGGCCAGCCTGAACTGTGTAAGAAGACTTTGTCCACCCCCACAAAAAAAGTTCAAGTCCCACCCTGGGCAACTTAGCAAGACCTTATCTTAAAAGGGCTGGGGATATAGCTTAGTGTGAAGATCTCCAATACCACCAAAAAAAAAAAAAATTTAGAACCAAGAGGTACTTTTCTTTTGAGTCCCTTGGGGTACAGGGAACTGTACAAGATGCCATATGGTATGGGGGCCAAATGATACCTAGAGGTAATTACTTTAAAGCTTTACTTTAAAACTCTCATCATCCTTACTAATTCTCAGCCCCCATTTCTTTTTTCTACTCACTGCCTCTTTTGTTTATTCCTTCAATGTCTTTGTCTTCTAATGAGGTGGCCCGAGACACAGACGGGACTGGAAATTACCTGCTCTTAACCCATAAGCATGTGGCACAGCTGTCCTTCTACTGCTGCTACCGAAACCGCCGGGCTCCAGCCAGACCCCCACAATGGGTGCTGTATCACAGCTTCTCCATTTCCAAAGACAACTGCCTTTCTATTGTTTCTGAGATTCAACCTGAGATGTGAGTTATCTATACCCCTTCTATACTGCTTATTCTTTTTCCAGGGACCAAAAGATGGAGAGTTGGAAAGACATAAAAGAAGGGATCTTAGTGGTTTATAGCAACATATGTCTTGAGGACAGAGGACTTGTGGAAGGGATGGTGGGAAAGTCTCATCTGTTTCATAGGAGAAGATATAGATCATCTAACTATTATTCTCTCTGCCAGGCTGGTGGAGCTGGCACCCCCATACTTCCTAAGTAACTTGCCCCCCAGCGAGAGCAGAGACCTCCTGAACCAGTTGCGGGAAGGAATGGCAGATTCATCAGAAGAGAAAGAACCTTCTTCCACCCAGGATTTCAGAGATGCCTGTGTCCTGCAGTGACCTGTCTGCCCAAGGAATGGAACTGAGCTCATCTCTTAGCATGCTATCCTTCTTCAGTCTGGCACCAAGGCAGCCAGCCACATTTAGAAACCCAAACTTTAGGGTCAGATGTACATCCAGAACCTAAGTCACAAGAAGCAGTGGGCACAGAGTGGTGGGAATGCGGTAAGCCACTACCTGTATAGCCTTAGCTTTCTCCTATTTATTGGTGAGGGACTGACATCCTTCCCATTCCACCAACTTATGGCAAACCTATCCTTGTACTCCCTTTTGGTCCATAAAAAGGTTTTCCTATGATGCCAAATTGTATTTTGGTTCTGCAGCACCATATACAACATCCATGAATCAGAGATGACACTATCTCAAAGATCCAAGACCAACTCCTGCAGCTATAGCCTCTTGCCTGGCTCCCACTCTGGTCAAGCCTTCAACCCATGACTGACACAGCTGTCACTATCACATAGCATGAGGAGTCTTGCTACAGTTGGTCTCTGTTCTGCCTATCTTCCCTTTGTCACAATGTTCCATTCTCCAGGGGAGAAAAAATAGGGGTGGCAGAAGAATTAAGCAGATTCCCTTTCTTCTTTCTTCCCTTTCTTCATTTAATTTAAATCCTGTTCTTTCTACCCCTCATTTCTGGAATTGACCCCCAGGCATTGTATGTCTGTACAAATGTGAAGGCTATCACAACCATCTCCTAACAAAATTTATCATCAGTGAACTTTCCAGCAGCCTCTGGCCTATCTACAAGTTGAAGTCTTTATTTTAGTGTGTTAGCGTGTGTGTGTGTGTGTGTGTGTGTGTGTGTGTGTGTGTGTGTGTGGTGGTACTGGGACTTGAGCCTGGGCCCTTCCATTGAACTGCATCGATCACCAGCCCCTTCTAAAAATATTTCCTCTTGAGACAGGATCTTGCTAAACTGGAACTTGTGATCCTCCTGCTTCATCCCCCTAGAGTGTTTAGATTACAAGCACATACTACCACACTGGGCTGCTGATGTCTTTCTAAAAATTTCAGAAGCATCACACTTTTCTTCCCTTTTGGCTGGGTACACCTTTCCCTTTCAAGCCCTGGAAGGTTAACTTTGGTTTCCTACACCATCATGTACATTGTAGACATCTTTGTAGAATTTGGCAGATAGAAAAGTTTACACCCAGAACTCTGCTTTTCTTCTCAGCGTTCCTTCTCTTAGGTATTCTATCTGGTCTTATCATTCTTTCCCCATCTCTGTGGATTATCATCTGATCTCCAGATTTTCCCCCTAGATCTAACATGTAGTTTTTTACCCACAAAGTTAATCTTACTACAAACCTCACAGTTTTCCCTTCATCCACAGCACCATTTTGTGCACCATTGACTTCCTGATCCTCCACATTTCCAATCTTGAAATTGCCTTTGATTCTTCTAGGGCTTAGCACTTCCTAAATATTTGCCAAATTCTGCTCCCCCTGCTCCATTGGACCCATTAACTGTGTCCACTGTTTCCTGTTCCTTTCTCTGTCCCCGTGGAACATCAGAGCTAAATTTTCTTACTAGAATGATCTTTCATCAGGTGTGGAAGCACCTGTCTTCTCTATAGTGCAGGTGTATTGTGAAATTCAAGTAGTCGGATATGCCAGTAGATTGACACGTACAAAAACATGAGACTCAGAATCAAGAAGGAACCCTTAGCGATTATTTTACAGTTGTAGGATGAGATGCCTAGCATGGACAACCCTTTGATCCCTGTCGCAGTCAGCCAGATTTTCAGCTCTGGCGCTTCCTGTTACTCTGCTGTCGCTGGCGTCCTCCGGCATACAGACTAAAACAGCACTGGATGCAGTCACCCCTAGCCCAGCACTGCTGGCCATGCAGCTCGCGATCCTAGAACCCCAGCTCTGAGCCCACTCACCAGTCCCGCCGAAGGGCAACTCGGGTTGGCCATGCCGCTCCCCCACCCCACCCAATACACACCTCATTGGCTACTGTCTGGCAGGTCCCGCCCTTTGGAGCCTCGAATCCCAGCGCTGTTTAACAGCCTGTCAGTGAAAAATGGCGGGAAAGGCCGCGTCTGATCTCTCCCGGCATCTGCTCAGAGCTGGCCTGGGTGCCCGCGGTTGGCCGAGGAGCCCTCGACGGTGCCTCAAGTCCTGCTGTTCCTCAAACCTCGGCTGCCACAAGTCCACGTGCTCGGGCAGCTGTGCGCTCCACCACCGCGGGCCTGGCGCGCTCCACCGATCCAGCGGGCGTAGCTCACACCACCGAGGCCAGCCCGGACACTGAAGCCACTTTGTTGTCCTCTGCCCAGGGCTGCAGGTTCTGCAGCGCGAAGAGCGATGAGTTGTGCAGGCAGAGCGGGTCGGGGGGCAGCGGCGGCCGCAGCGGCCGTGGTAGCGCGTCCTGCTGCAGGTGCAGGAGCAGCCTGCCCGCCCGA